TGTGTATTTCTATAATTGTACAATTAAAACTAAGACAAAGCTCTGGGGTGGGTAGTTGTTATTTGTGATCATTGGGAGTATTTTTTTCTCTCTTTTTTGATAAGTAAGATATTATTAAAGGTGCTGAAGAGGGAAGTGCTCCCAAGAGAATACACAAAAGTCGACAACCACCAACTATGCTTTCAGACTATCAACAAAATCCCCCCACAGATTTACAATTTCGCCAATTTACCCAAAAGAATAAAAACTCTGAAGGACATATTTGAGAGACCAAATAGGAGTCTCCTCTCCATCAAAGGATCTCCTAGTTCTCTCTCGCCTAGAACAAAGCATAACTTCGAAGTTCTGAGCTTAAGGTTGAAAGAGAAATTGATTAAATCCTTTGATGCACTCACTGGAAGTAGATGGAGCTCGCTGGAGTTCGCCAGACGTGTTTCTTGTCTGCCGGAGATTAGCGAAGCTTGTCCGAAGTCCAAATCATGGCATCAGCAAGTCTTCTGCTCTTGCGAGAGAGAAATATGAAGTTTTTACGAGCCCTAACTCAGCTTTCACAATCTTTAATTTCCTTACCTTTTTTTTTATTTTTTGGGTTGGTGGGGGGGAATAGTATTAGACTTCTAAAATATAGGATTTTTGCTAAAAGACTTCAAAGAAACTTGTTTTTTATTCAAGACAATAGACCAAAGGCCCAGAGAACTAAAGAAAAGATAGTTGAAATAACCAAGAGTGTCCAATAGAATGGGATTAGTAGTCACGGGATCATGGACCCACGATCATGTGTGTGAACCCACTGTGGTCCTGATCTCTAACAGTTTTGCAGGTGATTTTGATAAATTCGACAATTTGGGATCGTAGGATCGCACGATTCTACAAACTCAATCGTGATTTAGAACTATGGCTAGGAATTTCCACACAACAAGGATCGGACGTTACTAGTCGTTGGAGATCAAAGTGCTCACAGGATGAGCGAATTTGAGTAGTAGAGTATGGGGAGAACTAGGGCTACAAATGAACCGAGTCGAGCTTTGGATTGTTTGGGCTTGGCTTGCTGAGGTAAAGAAGGTGTTCAGAATCGGCTTGGGCGAGCTTGGCAAATTTTGGCAAACTCGGGCTTGTCTCAGCTTGAGCTCGATTAGGTATATATCTCTTGTACTGTGTTTTGATTAAAGCCATTTAAGAGAGAGAGACAGAGAGAGAGAGAGAGCGCTAACCTTGATGTTGTTGTGGTGTTGAGAACTTGAGATTGCTATTGAAAGGGGGTAGAGAGAGTTATTGTTGATGTTGCCATTATGTGATGTCCAGATCACTTGTTGGAGAGGGGTATTGTGGTTGTTGCGGATATTTTAGGGTTTTGGTATCTAATCCATACAAACGATATGATATAAACAATCTAATGGTTGTGATGAAATTGAGTGTTGGGCAATGGGCTATTTAGGCAATGGTTTTTATTTGTAGATGGGCTTATAATGTGAAAGAACTAAATGGGTCTGTGAAAGATTTGTGAACTTGGGCTAAACTTGCATCATTTAGGTCAGGCTTATACATATAAGAATTTGAAATTCTATGGCTCTTGAAATAATTGAGCTTAATGAGCCAAGCTTACCATTTGTTTAAGCTCGGCTCCTTTATTAAACGAGTCTAAAAAGCGAGCTCAAGCTCAACTTGTTTACTTAATGAATTATCTCGAGCCGAGCTTTTAACGAGGTGAGCCTGAGCTCTTTGTGTACAGCTCGGTTCCTTTGCAGCCCTAGGGAGAAAATATGGCATGAGTTTGGGTTAGAGGTCACTAAGTTATTCTTGGGTTCGAGTCTAGTTAACTTAGTTGTAAGCTTTTATTTATGATGGATTTAATCTTACTAAATTAGGTTCTGTGGTTATTATCCTATGGGTTTTTTCACGTAAAAAACGTGTGTTCATGTTCAATGCTTTGTTATGATTTTTTCTTCTTTTCAAAGATGGTTTTTTGTTGTACGACTATTCATTCCACCTTTACGTATAGTTTGGGTCATGGCGGACAATGCTCTTAAGATCATAGCTACAGAAAAAGAAGATTTGTTACAATGTAGCTCCATAGGAACCATAAATAGAAAAACGTGAAATATTAACAGAAATAGAGATTTTAGGCGCAATAGAAAGGAATGTTGTAACCGGGGTGTTTGGGCCATTCTGTGCACTCTGACATTACAGTCTAGGTTATGATCTTTATTCTTCAATATATAAGATTATTATTATTATAATTTTTAAATTGTTACTAAGTTAAAAATTTGTAAATTCAATTTTATTTAAGTCTTGGATGTAAACCCTCAAACAAGGCTCACTTGAAGGCAATGAGGAAACATTGAGTAAAGTCCTAAGTTTAATGCATTTGAAGGGCAATGGGAGCTATGTTTATATAAAGAACGGCGAATGATGTATTCTCTTTAGCCCAAAGGGTAGGAGGAGTAAGGACATGATCTTTTATTGACAACCAAGGGTAGATGCTCCCATCCCACATTGGCTGGAGGAGATGACTTTCTTTTCACTTTTCTCTATATTAGGAATAATCTTCTCTTTTCTAGTAAAAATGATTCGTATATTGGGCCAATCTTTCGAGAATGGTATGGTGGGTTGGGCCTTGAAGCCAGATATAATAAAATTCAAAATTTAACAAGCAGTCCATGTTATTTGCTCAAGAGTGGGCTGAATGAGCTTGTGCTATCATATGTGTTGTTCCCTACCTATCGAGCCGAGCTGGACATTGTTTAGGACCTACTCATGTCGTAAATGTGCTTGAAAAACTAGGCTGACTTGGAATGAATAAACACGGGCAGAGTTTCTAACTAATTCTCGAGTTATTCACGATCAATTTAGTTCTCTTATAGTCTACTCAAATCTGAGCCATTTTTGTGCCACTGTAGCTTGGCTAGGACATGACCTGCCCTGATGTATTTTTTGAAATTTGATGAGGCTGATGGCATATCATTACTTGGTTTACGAGGCGTGAAGTCTCTCATTACACCAATGTAGGGGATCGGGATAGAAGAAAAGGTCTGGCATTTATTTCTTTATTGCTGTTATCGTCGAGGGACATGGTGTGGAAAGCTTGTGTTTTTCCATGATTCTGTTATTTTTTATGATTCTATTATGAATGTGGGAGATAGGCAGTGAGATTGTATTTGTGAAGCAACCTTGCTAATGTGATCAATGTGTTGTATGGATTGGGCTTGTTGGAGGCCATAAGCAAGGTGTGGATGAGCTTCAGGAAATTCATTAAGTTATTGTTGTGAATATGCAGGGGTTAGTTTTTGGCAATGATGGTGTGGGGATAACCCATTGAGTGGGATATTCCTAGGTTTGGTCTGTGTTTCCAACTTGTATCCAAGAGGCTTGCAATGTTATGTATGTCGATGTAACAGAGGCTAGGGTGGGTTGGGATCCCATAATTTATAACTTCTACAATGATTGGGAGTTTGAGGCAGTGAGTGCTTTCTTTTCTTGCAATATGACCAGATACTGGATTTCGGTGTTGACTCATTGAAGGGGTGGTAGGGAGTGCCAGAGTGGGAATTTGAATAGTGTTATTATAGGCTTTGAAGGGGGCAAGCATAGTGGATTTTCCTTGGATGTTCTTTTGCATTCCAAAGTCCCTCCAAATATTGTGTTAATGGGTGGGTGGTAGCTTCGGTGAGATAATGACCATTGATAACAGTGAATATGTGTCTTTTTATTGTTAATGGATGCTTAATCTCTATGTAATGTTTGCTCTTAAAAAATGCATTAAATATCACAAACGACACTTGGTACTGGGTAATGGGATATGTATAAAACATTTATGGTTGGACATGCACCTAACAAGTATATTCAAATACTTACTGAATAATGTGATCCTTTAGTTTCAAAATGAGTGGAAACTTTATTTACTCAATTAAATTTAGAAGAAAAATATTGGGTAATGTGAATATTTAGCAGTGTTTGTATGTCTGTGGGTTTGGGGATTTATTAAATCTGACGCGTAGACACATGCCTGCACTCATTATACTTGTGCGCATCCATGAAGTATGGCTTAATCTGCAGGAGTGCAGAATCCCTTTTGGCATTCATAGGGTTTTCTATCGCTCTACTACTGAGATTCTAACTAAGGCTTGAAATGGAGCGGGTTTGCTCTGAGATCCAACCTGAGCTGAGGTCCATTTTAATGGGTTTGGATTTTGATTTTGAATTCGAAAAAAGCTTGGATATGAATTTTCGTTGAAAGATCCATCGCGGATTAGGGTAGGATCTGGGTAATTCTTAAATGGATCGGCTTACTCGAGATCCGATCCAGTTATTGTATATTTTGCTCTATGTGAATTCTGTTTGAATAGTATGTGTCAGATATGGATCATGCCCATAGAATCTGATTCAGATCTGGATATGGCTCCTGACATTAAAATATAGTTCTGGCTCAGAATTCACTTCATTTCAATCCCTAGTTCTAACTAATCAGCATGGTAGGTAGGTAGCTACTTACCTTTAGTGGGGTGTGTGTTGAGAGAAAAAGTTAATCCCTCAAAGACGTGGATGTCTTGATGTTGAAACTTTAGTTATCTCCTTTGAAGTTCTTTCTATTTTTTGAGTTTCGGTAGATCTTCTACCCTGAATGATATTTTGTAAAGTTGTAATGGATACGAGAGCATAGTTTTTGTGTAGCTTGTTTTTGTGTACTTCGTGTATTCATCAGACATCTCCCTTTTGGTGTCCTATAGTGATCTTTTACATATAAATATACTCCAAAGTGGAATTCCTTGTTCACCGAGTCATTCAGAGAAGGAACCTTATTTCTTACAAAGTGGGACTTCATAGATTACCTTGTGGGAGGAGTGGAAATTAGAAGATCATTAAATTTGTCAAGGTCAATATTTGAATTGTCATAGCATGTCTAACGTAATATTAGTTTTATCTTTGGTTCCTGTTTTTTCTATTTAATGTCAGATAAAATATTTTGGTGACAGAGAAGTGGGTTGTAATTTCTCTTTCTGCAGGTATGTTCCATCTTTCTTACCACCTCCTATGGCAACCAAGGGAAGAGAATATGACAAAAAGGTCAGTGTGCCTGCATTTAGTACCTTTCTTTTTGTTCAAGAGTGAGTTAACTGGTCCTGTACCAAATTTATTTTTCTCAGTTCTTAATGTTTTTGCATTACAATTTGCAGAAGGAGGAAGAGAAGCCAAAGGAGAAAGAGAAGGGTAAGTCACGGAATATAGATCACTTTATGGAGGAGCTAAAGCATGAGCAAGAGATGAGGGAAAGACGAAACCAGGAGCGTGAACACTGGCGAGATGGGCGTCATAATGAAAATTCTGCTGTAAGTGGCTTTGTAATTCAAAATATATATATATATATATATTTTGTGTGTGTGTAAAAAAATGGATGTGTATTTGATTAGTTCATGTGCGGCTTGTTTTTGTAAAATTTTTCTCCTAGTTTTTCATCTTTATATTTTATTTTCATAATGAGTTTGATTTGAAGGAGCTACACAGGGTTATTAGATTAGCTTCTGTGCATTTTGAATAGACACACATGAACATTTTAATGTACATATATTGTTGTACACAATAAACTGATGAGCATTTTTGCCTGGATTCGCATTCTCTACATTGCTGTAGATCTGCTCTTAATATTTTGTTAATCATAGATCTGTCTAGTTTATTTTTATGTTATGTCATGATGTCATTTTTGCTTAGGATTTCCACTTTACTAGTCTTTACATATTCATTTAATAAGGTCACTCTTTCTCAGCCGCCTAGCCGATTTGATGAGCTGCCTGATGATTTTGATCCAAGCGGAAAACCTGGATCATTTGATGATGGAGATCCACAGACAACAAACCTGTATGTTGGAAATCTCTCTCCTCAGGTTTGTTTGTGATTTTGAATGTTTAAGTTTTTGATTTATTTCTTTTGTTGTCGCTTTGAGACTAAGGAGAGCTTTAAAGGTAACGTCTTCTTGTATTTCTAATTGTTTTAGGTGGATGAGAATTTTCTCTTGCGGACTTTTGGAAGGTTTGGACCTATTGCTAGTGTGAAAATTATGTGGCCAAGGACAGAAGAGGAACGAAGACGGCAAAGAAATTGTGGCTTTGTAGCTTTCATGAACAGAGCTGATGGACAAGCTGCAAAGGATGAAATGCAAGGTTTAATTCTTCTGGTGTTTTCATTTATTACTGATGGAGTGTTTTTTGTTTCCCTCGATAAATGAGATGATTCCATCCAGAAGATAAAAACTTTTAGTACATAGGAAGAAAGTGAGGGCATACCCTCCCATGCGCACTTTTTTCTCAGAAGACAATTCTTGCTACGTATATTTAAGTCAAATATCTGTGGCACGTGTGTGCGTACTGTTACTTTTTATACCCATAGTATTTATTATTAAGTTTATTTATTTTTGGTAAGCAAGCAAGTATATATATTAAGTTCATTCAAAGTTCCTATAACTTCATCTTCACAAAAGTTCATGCTTAACAACAATTGTATGTTTTCACATTTTTACTGTATCCCCCAATATCTCACAAGTTTTTCAAGTATTGAACATCTTTTGGATTTTCTTATTTCTTTGAGTAAGCCTCTTAATTATTTCATTGAAATTATTTTCACCAATATCTAGTTGTATTACTGTTGTTTACATACTCATTAGAACAGGTTTTTATTTTTATTTATTATTTTTTTTCCTGGTAGGTAAGCAACACACACGCACGCACGCACGCACACACTCCAAACTGCCCCTTGTGGAGCTCGAACTGCTCATCTCCTCTTTGGAGAGGAGCAGGGCTGCAATCGAGCCGAGCCGAGTAGTGCCCTGCTCGAGCTTGGCTCGACTGCACAGTAAGAATGCTTGAACTCAGCTCAAGCTTGACTCGAGCTTCCATCTTAGTGTTAAATCTCGGCTCGGAGACGTTAGTGCTAAACTCGAGCTTAGCTCGATGCTCGTTTACAGAGGAGCATGTACCAGACAAGCAACACACGGTCATATATATATATATATATATATATATATATATATATATCTATACACTGAGTACATCACAAAGTTGTGAGGAACATATATCAAATTGCAATCGTATATAAATAAATCACAAATTAGCGAGGATCATATAAAACATAACAATCATATATATAAATCACAAATTTACAGAGAAAATCATATAGATATAAACCACAAATTTACAGAAACAATCATATACACAAATCACAAATTTATAGAGAAACATATATCACACAAGATCATATATATATATATATATATATATCTTCTAGAAAAAAATATGTATAGAATTACAGATTCATCTTATACGTGGATGAAATCACCACTTATTGTCACTTTAATCCTCTCTTGATCTTCAAACAGACCCACTGTAATTTCAATCTCTACCTTGATGTCGCTGTAGCACCATCCTTCCATCCCCTCTAGGTTTGTCGTTGTAGCACCGTGCTTCCCCTCTAGATAATGAAGGAGAAGAAGGAGAAGACAACTGAGAGAGAGACATGGCAGATTGGGGGTGTTGCTGTGAGCGATGCTGAACTTACTGTGAGCGGCGCTCACGAAAGAAGAAGGGTTAGGGATTCTATATATATACAGGCTCATGGGTATTTTAATTTTATGGGCCTAAGTTGGGCTTGATCAGTTGGAGTTGTGATGGGCTGAGGCACTTAAAATGGATAAAGGGGTTTGGGCTAAAACCTAAATTTATAAGTATCATATTTTTACATAGTTATATATTTTTTATGAGCTTAAAACGAACACTTTACCGAGCTTGTTTATGGTCCTGTTCACGGACAAATGAGCCGACCATTGGTGTGTTTGAGATTGGCTCATTTAATAAATGAGCCCAATAATTTTGTTTGGGCTCGGTTCGTTTAATAAATAAACGAGCACGAGCTGAGCCCGAGTAGTTCGCGAACATCTCGGCTTGTTTGCAGCCCTAGAGAGGAGAGCTCATACCACCTGGGCCAATGACCCGGTGGTTCTTGTCAGAACAGCTTATTAGAAGCATATCCCTATTATTCTAAGAATTGGCCTAAATGTTCTTACTCTTTTGTGTTACATGCTAATTTCTTTCTTATAAGTAAATTCAGAAGCTGAAAATAAGCTGCAACAGATAAGAATTTAATTAGGTATTGGTTTGCGTGAGGACCTTGGTTGTCTTAAGGGAAATTGAATTAGTTCAAGGTGTTATACATACTGTAATATGGACAGAAAAGGATTTCCAAAACAGAATAGACAGGAACTTTATTTGTGAAGGGCTTTCTTTTGGACAAGTAAAACTTGGGGAACATTAAATTTAGAGTGCGGTTAATAAGAAAGGAAATAAAACCGATGTAGAAACTGGTTCATTCTACTTTTTCTTCTTTCTCCTCCTCTTTCTTCTTTTTAATTTATGATTACTGACTGAAATGAACCCCGAATTGTAACTTTCTCTAGGGTAACAAACTGACGGGTGGACTCATTTTGAATTCTGCTTAGAGTGACTGGTTCAATTTCCATGCAATATCTAATATCGCTCATTGATTTATAATCTAGTTAAAGTTTGATCTTATCACATTCATTTCTGTATTTATAATGTATCTATTGTAAGTCATGCATGGAATGAAAAGGGATTGAAGATGATCTTTATGCTGCAGGGGTGGTTGTCTATGAGTACGAGTTGAAGATTGGGTGGGGTAAGTCGGTCTCTCTTCCATCACAAGCGCTACCTGCTCCCCCACCAGGACATATGGCCATCAGGAGTAAGGAGGTCTGTAATTATGTCTGTTAAAACTATGAACAAGTTATTACATACATTTATGTTATTCATGCATTTTCTTCTTTTTTAAAATTGGATGCTTAGGAATTAACTCTTCAATTGGGCTACACCTTAATACTTTTTTTTTGGATAGAGAATTCATCAAATTCTTCTTCATTTATTCACTTTATCAATTTGAATCATATCTAATTTTGTGATGTACAGGGTGCAACTGTTATTTTGTCTGGTCCCTCGGGCCCACCTGTTACTTCTGTCCCAAGCCAAAACTCTGAGCTGGTAGGTTAACTTTATCTTCTTAGCCTTTTTTTTTAAAGTTCTGTTTGATCAGTTGGTTAACTTCATCTTGTCAGTCTTGTGACAAGAAAGTTACTTTTGGTACAGGATTTTGAGCTTAGTATCTGAACAATTTTTCTGTCTATTCAGAGGAGAGAAATCTTGATGTTTTCCATATTTTTTCAGTAAATGGATATCTTGTGCTTGACTGCCATTTGATGTTTTTGCCTCTGAATAATCTGCAACTGATAGGCTTTGAAACCAATTGAAGAATCTAGAGAATCGTTACCAAGGCTATGATACGTCAAATACGCTATACCCTAAAATAGATCTAGATTGGTGAATCGATCTTGTTCAAACTACTATTATCAATGACTGTTTTTTAGATTTTAGCAATTATAGTTTCCACACAACACTACAAATATATAGAGAGCAAAAATACAATAACCAAGCAAACACTCATAGGCACATTTATGTGGAAAACTCCTTGGGGAAGAATCACGGAAGATAGTTCAGGCAGATCAAATCCTTTATCAAAGAAAAGGTAATAAAACCTTAGGCCGGGCTTGCTTGGTTTGTAACTCTGAAAACAGTTCTCAAGAACTCCGAAAACAGAAAACTGGAACTATAAAAGATAGTTCTTTGAAAACAGGCCTTTTATAACCGAGTTTTCCGAAAATTGAACCAAGCATGAGTTTTTTTTTACAATTTTCTTCTTTTCAGTTCTTTCAGAGTTACATACCAAGCAGGCCCTTGGTTTCTAGATTATAAACCCAAGAATTTCCCAGTTACCTATGAGCCTGAATCACACCAGATGATCCAATCTGACCTCTGTTGCTGTCAATTAGCTCCTTGTATGATCTGCTCTTCAACCTGTGCTTTGATCTTCATGATTAGTAACATCTATTTTTCGTTCGTTTGTCTGATTTGGTGTTGATGACAATTAAGGCTCTACAAGTTGTTGATCTATACTCTGAATAATAACTCACTGTCTAATGCCAGATACTGAAAAGAAAAAAATGCACTTCATGTACACGGATGCTCTCTAGTGCAGGAGCATACTCTAGATTGACTATATCCTCCTATTTATAGCCAATATAGGAGTTCTGCGTGACATAGAAAAATAAATCAATTATAAGACTTTTAGAGAGTTTCTAAAACTGCTCTGTCCTGATCAATCATAGAAATTTATTTCGCTCGATTGAAAGTTTTGCCCAAATGTTTTGATCGACCTATTGAATTCTCTCTTCAAGCTTTTCTATTACAGGCCATTTCACCTACTATATTTAACTTTGTAAAATCATTTTTAATAACCTCATCTCATGTTATTTTTGGTTGCCCTCTCTGTCTCTTACCTTCTATTACAACTAGTCTTCCTCATTTAACCGGCGCTTCTAGGTCTCCGATGTACGTGTCCAAACCATCCAAGTCTACTCTGTTGGATTTTCTCACCAATGGGTGCTACCCCTAATTTTTCTCACACTTATATATATATATATATTTTTTTTTTTTGATAAGTAATAAATATATTAGAAAAGCGTTCAAAAGGGGAACGCGTCCCTAATACAAAAACGAAAAATGGATCTAAGGGGACCATCTCTCCTCTTTCCTGTTCATTATTGTCATGGAGGCTCTTAGTAGGTTCATGAGGAGGGCTGTGGACTTGGGGTTCATACGGGGCTTCAAGATTGGTTCAGACGCAGCTCATCAGTTGGAAATTTCTCATTTGCTCTTCGCGGACGACACTCTGGTTTTTTGTGAGGCTGAGGTGTCCCAGTTGAGATATTTGCGATATGTCCTTGTTTGCTTTCAGGCAGTCTTTGGGCTGAAAGTCAATGTGCGAAAGAGTGTGATTGTACCTGTGGGGGATATTCAGGAGGTGGAGTCTCTCGCAGCTGTCTTAGGGTGTAGGATGAGCTCCTTTCCTATTTCTTATTTAGGCTTGTCTTTGGGTGTCTCGACAAGAAGGGTGGGAAGCTGGGACTCGGTGATTGAGCTTTTCTAGAGAAGGCTGGCGGGGTGGAAGAAGCAATACCTTTCGAAGAGGGGAAAAGTTACTCTGGTGAAGAGCACTTTATCTAGCCTTCCAACTTATTTCCTTTCGCTCTTCCAGATCCCCTCTGCTGCTGTTAGAAGACATGAGATGCTTCAACCGAATTTTTTGTGGGGTGGTAGAGGAGAGGAGTTTAAGTATCATCTTGTTCGATGGGAGCAAGTTTGTAGGCCCCTCAAGTTGGGAGGCCTAGGGATTAGGAGATTGACCCCTTTCAATAGGGCCCTCCTAGGCAAGTGGCTTTGGAGATTCGGCAGTGAACGACATAGGTTATGGAGGAAGGTTGTTTCTTGTCGGTTTGGGGAGGAGGGGGCGATGGTTAGCTAGACCGGTCAGGTCTGCTGTCGGTGTGGGAGTTTGGAAATCCATTGGGAGAGGTTGGGATGAGTTCTCAAAGCACATTAGATTCATAGTCCGGGAAGGAAGGGATATCCGGTTTTGGGAGGATGCTTGGTGCGAGGACCGTCCTTTGTCTTGTTTGTACCCGAGGTTGTTCAGGATTGCTGTTGATAGACATGCTATGGTTGCTGACTGTTATCGCCTTGATAGCGGTAGATTGTCTTGGAATGTACAGTTCCGGCAATCTTTTCAGGATTGGGAGTTGGATGATGTCATTGGTTTGTTGGATCTTCTGTATAGACAGGAGGTGGATGGCACCGGGTCGGACTCCTTGACTTGGACGCTTTCTCCTCAGGGGACATTCCAAGTCTGGTCCTTTTTTCACCAGTTTTCAGGGTTTCGTGGCTCCACCTTCCTGTAGAAAACGGTTTGGCGCTCGAAGGCTCCTCTTAGGGTGGCTTTCTTTGTGTGGACTGTTGTTTGGGGCAAGATCTTGACTCTGGACAACTTGAGGAAGAGACGACATGTTATCGTTAACCGGTGTTGTCTGTGTATGAATGATGGAGAGTTTGTGGATAATCTTCTCTTGCACTATCCCGTGGCTCACGACTACTGGAGCCTTTTGTTGTGTCTCTTTGGTGTTCAGTGGCTTATGCCCCGGACTTCAAGGAATTTGATTGATGGTTGGAGGGGCTAAAGGGTGGGAGCGCGCGCCCGTAATTTCTTGAGGGTGATTCCCCTTTGTATTTGGTGGAGTCTTTGGAAAGAACGCAATCGAAGATCTTTTGATGGGGAGGGGACCTCCATTGGGGCTCTGAAGTTTGCTATTCTTTGCTCTCTTTTTAGTTGGGGTATGGGGAGAGATTGTATTTCTTTGGATGAGATTATGGACTTTTTGGGGTGGTTGGGTCCGTAGATCTCATTTTCTCATTTTCATTTTTATACAGCTCTTGGGACGCGTTCCCCTTTTGAACGCTTTCTAATACATTTTTACTTATTAAAAAAAAAAAACGTTAGTGGAATTTTTTAATATATCCTATAAAAATATAAATTACAGACTCACTTTTGTTGCGAAATTTGTCAACAATAAGTTCCTCAAATATGATCAATATTGATCATGAAATCACATTTGTGAAGTTTACTCTTCTCTTTCTCTCCCCTCAAAAAAATAAATTAAAATAAAATAAAAAAGAAAGGTAGCGTCTTATTTGGTCAAATGAAATACATTCTTTTTTTTATAATTTTTAATTTTTTTTTTTTAAAATTTTGTATTTATTATAGTGGTTATTGTTGGTTCAGTTATTGATCATGGTTGAGGTCATAGCCTTTGAGCTTTTAATTTGCTAATTTCTTCTTCTTCTTATTCTATAATTAATTAATGTTTTCGCTATTTTAGAACAACTTTTAATTGACTTTTTGGGAATTTAGAGCAACTGTGTTACCAAAGTCCTTTGAATAATGCATGTGGCTTAATCTTAGGTTTTTGTTGCTAGAAGCTGTGCATTTGTCTGATTTGGACTGTAATTTTTTTCACCTGTTCCCATATTCCCACCTCCATGTCTGGTCTGCTCTTTTTAGTTTTTCAGATTTGCAGTTATAATTATTTGTAACATAACATGAAAAGCAGCCTTTCTAAATGATGGATATTATTAACTGGTGAAACTAAAAGGCTGGTAGGCTGGGTAGCCTTGTAAATACACTTGCTTGGATAATGTACATGCCTTTTTGGCTAAAAAGTTGATCAGGCTTGGCGGGACTAAATGCTACCTGTTCAGGTGCCCTTGTATCTCTGTCATTTAATTTGCCTTTGCTTGAATCTGGTAGAATATATTGTTTTTCTAACTGTCCTTGACATTTGTACGGTAAATGTAGAAGTTTCCTTTTCTAATTTCCTACTGAATTCTGCATTCTGCTGGTTCAAGCCCTTGGTTATGTCTTTAAACAATAGACTAGGGGCCTAGTTCTAAACGAGCCTGGAGGCCCTTGACAAACATGACTCGGATCAAAGGTGTAAGTCTTTTGGTTTGAGTGACCTTCTGCCTGTCTGGTCCAGCCTTCACCCCGTTCATGCATCCTATCTTAAATTTTGATTTTGTTAATTAATAATGTGGTTCATAGATCCGATATGATATATGGTTGTGCTTACAGCTTTATTGTGAATTCTGTTGTTGATGACTTGACTTGGTTGCTAGGTTCTTACTCCCAATGTTCCTGATATAACGGTTGTTCCACCTGATGATGATCATCTTCGCCATGTGATTGATACAATGGCTCTCCATGTTCTTGATGGTGGTTGTGCTTTTGAGCAAGCTATAATGGAGAGAGGCCGTGGTAATCCTCTTTTCAACTTCTTGTTTGAGCTTGGTTCGAAGGAGCATACTTACTATGTCTGGAGGCTATATTCCTTCGCTCAGGTATATTTTGTTTTTAGGTTTATATGGTTTTTGCTTCTGCTGCCTTTGCAGTTTGATATAATTAGGCATTATATATGCACATATTGATGTGTGTGTGTATATGGATATTTTTGTTGCTTTCAATGTCAGTAGTTGACTTGGTTTTTTTTTTTTTTTTTTTCGAACGTATTATTTAATGACATCCATATTAATCATAAACCATGTGGTATTTATCAATTATTTACACATTTGTATTAATATAGAATCAAAGTTTTTGTTGTTTTTTTAGTAGATGTGGTACATATATATAGATAATGTCAAAAATAAAAAGAGTAAACTCAACTTAACAGTAACACTGTTTTTTTAAAGGGAATCAGCTAATATTCACTTTTAACTTTAGTAATGGTGTTATAATTACCAGTTTGTCTTGAGATCACTAGGGTACTGATGCCATTGGTTCGATTCCCATAGTCTATTGGGAAAGGGAAAAAATCGCTGTTGCAGAGTTTGGCGTAGTGCTGCGTGGGACTATTGAGTCTGAAATCGCTGTGGTCAAATAAGATAATATATTGCTCTGACGATCATGCCCTTTTCCAGTGACCATCATTTGGGATTTAAAATTTACTCTTGTTTTCTCTATGTGGTTTGGAAAGAAACAATTATAATTTTGATTAATTTGAATTAATGTCGACCAATTTAAATTAATTTTACATATCCAATATCCAATAAATGCAAAAAAAAAAAAACACATATGGTGTGAAGTTAGTTATATAGATAAAAATCGGTCATCATTTGGTGTTGACGTGGTATCAGCCACACAATAACTACACCAGTTTACACATTTTTAACAATAATTTTGATTAACTTGAATTAATGTCGACTAATTTAAATTAATTTTGTTTCAAACAGTATTTAATAATTGTATTTTGTTCGCTTCTAGTACTTAATTACATTACATTTTTCATAAAAGTCCTACACATGTCATTTAATTTTTTAAAAATAAAAAAATTCAGAAATACAAAAAAAAACCCATAAAATGAACTTTTCTTTAATAAATTGCAAAAGAAAATATGGGTTAGTTTGCGATATTAATTGTATTATCAAACTTTATATCTATAAATATTTCTTGTTGGTATATTATTTTTAAATGGAAGAAAATACTTATCAAAAAAAAAATTATTTTTAAATGGAAGAAAGTACCAAACAAAGTGGAAATCCATAAGTAAACAATGGAATTTAATTTGGTTGGATGGTACCAACAAAATCGAGTTTTCTTTTCGAGAAACAATCTAGCTTTGAGACTTTATTACCAATTTTATTGCTTAAGAATATCATAGATCTACAAAAAGATATAACGAACTTTAGTTATGCTGCCTACTTTACAAAAACATGATAAATTTGAAAAAGGCATGAACATTCATGGATTTAACATAGAAAATGTGACACCAAGAGCCTTGTAGCCCAATGGTATCTCCTCTACCTCCCAAAGGGTTCAAGTCTCCAAAGGAGCAAATGGGTGTGTGAGTTTCTTGCCAAGGAAAAAAAAAAAAAATAGAGAATGTGACAAATTTAACATATATGTGCAATCACATTTAAATAATTTGAAAACAAGTTGAAAAATATCTATTTTATTTTGGCAAAGAGATCCGAGTAGGAAGTTCAAGAAAAAGATTCCATATCACAATCGATTGGTATTTGATGGCTGGAGAAGGCTATTGATTGGAATATGAATCTGTGGGTTAGAGTTTGAGTGGCTGGCTTGTTATTAAAAGACCATGAAAAATAGAAAGTAGCTTTGCCGCCGGAGAACCCCTTTTGCATGTTGGCAGCAAGACAATGTCATCTTGTGTTTCAGGAGATGGCAACATCTTGGGCAAAAAAATTGTGATGTCTTGCCTTGTAGGATGAGATGACCCAGTTGCAAATATGTATCATAATTGTGGAGACTACCAATTTCTTGGTATTGGGAGACTTCAATACTTAAAATAGCTAATGGATTTTTTATTCTTGTACATCTGTAGGGTGATACCCTTCAGAGGTGGCGAACAGAACCTTTCATCATGATAACCGGCAGTGGGAGGTAATGCATACTGGATATATCTTCTTTTAATGCTCATGCTTAAAAAATCTATCTTTTTTGAGATAATCTATGCTGTTCTTTGATACATGGTTTTACAATTGTGATATATTATGCGATTCTTCCTGTTGTATATCAGATGGATACCTCCCCCTCTGCCAATAGTAAAAAGTCCGGAGCATGAAAAAGATTCTGGAACTACTTATGCTGCAGGAAGAAGCAGGGTACATCTTAATCCTAATCTTATCGTACACTGCTTGACAAAATTGAGTTTCTGATAAATTAATTATTCCATGAGTATATGGGGAAGTTCTTTGATTTGGAAATTCCTTTTTCTCATTAACTTCTACAGCGTGTGGAACTGGAAAGAACACTGACTGATTCACAGAGAGATGAATTTGAGGACATGCTGCGTGCTTTAACATTAGAGAGGAGTCAGATTAAGGAAGCTATGGGTTTTTCTTTGGATAACGCTGATGCAGCTGGAGAGGTAGTGCTGATATTATTAATACACATATTTTTGCTTGTTTTAGTATACTACTATACTCTTTGGCTATATGGGTGGAATTACAGGTTGATTATGATTAAGGACCTCATTTGTTGGTGCTTTGTCCCAGATCCTATTATTAATATGAGTTCATTTTCGTTAATTTGCACTCTGTTATCACATCATATAATCCAATGTCTTTTTGTTTTTCAGATTATCTAATAAAATATTCATTGTGTCAAAATTTCTGCTTATATGTATACTGTCATAATTTGACTCGTGGTTTTCCTTGCATCTCACATCGGCATGTCAATTGATATTAATTTAACCACACAGTGTGAAACTATGATTGAGGTCTACAATCTAGTACACTAGAGGGAAACAAGAGGAGAAATAGGAAGGCTTAGGTCTTGAATTTATCTTTAGGGTTTTGAATGTTTTTAATTGTTGAGTATTTTTTGGAGTTGCTTATATATCTTTCTTTTGATTCAGATTGTTGAAGTTTTAACTGAGTCTTTGACACTTAAAGAAACCCCCATTCCGAGTAAAGTTGCTCGGCTCATGCTGGTCTCAGACATTCTTCACAACAGTAGTGCCCCTGTAAAGAATGCATCTGCCTACCGCACCAAATTTGAAGCCACTTTACCGGACATAATGGAAAGCTTTAATGACTTGTATCGTAGTATAACAGGAAGGATCACAGCTGAGGCCCTTAAGGTAAGCTATGAATCTTTGGGTTTCCAGAATATATCCCCCCTTCTTTCAGACTCCAATTACTGAATTATCTGCATTCTGCAGGAACGAGTTCTGAAAGTTCTTCAAGTCTGGGCTGATTGGTTTCTGTTTTCGGATGCATATGTAAACGGACTACGAGCTACTTTTCTTCGAGCTGGGAACTCTGGTGTGACCCCTTTCCATTCTATTTGCGGTGATGCTCCAGAAATAGAAAAGAAGACCAGCTCTGAGGATACAGTTGATGGAGTTAAGACTAACCAAGATGCTGCATTGGCTATGAGCAAAGGAGCAGCCATGAAGGAGCTATTAAGTCTTCCCCTGGCTGAGCTGGAAAGACGATGCAGACACAACGGGTTATCTCTCGTAGGTGGTAGAGAGATGATGGTTGCACGATTGCTTTATCTGGAAGAGGCAGAAAAACAGAGGAGCTATGAACTTGATGATGACCTTAAATATGCACAGGGCCATTCAAGTTCAGGTAGATACTCAAGTGGTAAGAAAGAAGCAAATGCTGAAATGGAGGTCGTCGGATTGTCTGGGTGGAATAGTTACGGGGATGATGAGGTGCGGACTCAAGGCAAAGGATCTGTACCTTTGGCCTCAACCATTCCTATCCCTCAGCCTGAACTAAAAGCCTTTATGAATGAAAGGAAAAATGATCCCGTTTTGCCAGCCTCTAAATGGGCTAGAGAGGATGATGAAAGTGACGATGAACAAAAAAGAAGTGCTAGAGATCTGGGATTAAGTTACTCATCTTCTGGGAGTGAGAATGCTGGTGATGGTCCCAGTAAGGCCGAGGAGATGGAGATTGCAACTGATGCAAGCATTCCACCACAACCTGATACTGGAATGAATGAAGAACAGAGGTAGTATGAGTTTTATTCTTTTAAGGGATGTTGAAGTTTGGACATTTATTCTATGTTGATTTAGATAGTATTTAACTATACTAGTTTGTTGTTGTAGTAATTAAAATATTGTTTGTTGCTTAAAAGGATTATCCTTAGTTTAGCAATAACTAGTCATTCCAATTGTTGATATCATTGTTTCTGTGATATCTTCATGTGTTTTTGTTATTGCTGAATCCTGTTGATATCATTTTGATTCTTTAATTTTTTCCCCGGGTGTTGAGTTGGTATTGATTTCATTTGGATCTTTTGTTCATATGCCATCTTAGAAAAATATTAAAGGTTTTATATGCTTCAACTATCCAAGTCTAAAGGTCATTGCCCTGTGTTGTTCTTGTCGTTGTGGTGGTGGTGGGAATACTGAGACGGGTAGACTGGATATACATACCTGAACTTTGTCAATTTTTGCACAAAAATTGACTGTTTTCAGGCTTGAACCATGTTCTTACACATCAGCCTGAGGATTTTATTTTTGAACCAATCACTGGCTCATTAACTATCATCTTGCCCTCACTTCCCATTTTAGGTTATATTATATTTAGGCCATAATATTTTGCAGTCCTTAGTGTTTTGCTTGACTGCGTTTATGTTGACAGACAAAAGTTGAGGCGTCTTGAAGTTGCTTTGATGGAATACCGTGAATCACTTGAAGAGCGGGGAGTAAAAAATTTGGAGGAAATTGAGAGGAAGGTTGCAATTCATAGAAAGCGGCTACAATCTGAATATGGTTTATTGGATTCTAACGAAGATGTTTCAGACAACAACAGTAAGTACTCAAACTGTAAGCAGATCATTGAGTTCTATTGGGATTATAGTATGTCGAACCTTGTTTAATGCTTTACAAGTTCTAATGTTTGCTGCGGTAGTTTCAAATTTATTAATTTTGTTTCTGAATTCTTTTTTTTACCAAACAACCCCCCCCCCCCCCCCCCCCCCCCCCCTCTTTTCTTTTCCCTCTCTCTCTATCTGTATAATACATGAGTAATCAATTTAATTATACTTTAGGCTCCAGGACCTACTGAAATTTTTTGAATTTAAGAAGATTTAGTTGCTTTTTAGCTTGAATTCTGGAATCGTCTTACTTTAAGAATAATTAATTCTGGAATGTTTTTGAGATATTGCTATGTTAAAATATCATTTGTATGTGATTACGTGCTAAAAGTTTTTGCCGTGTTCCTGCTTTTATTTATAGCTGTCAAGTTGTATATTTCATTGAGTATCAAATTCCATAGCTTTTGTATTTTTATATTGTTTCAACTGTAAGATAATTCAAGTGCAATTGAAAAACATATGCAAAATTGTGAGTGATCAAAGATTCTGAAAAAATACATGAAATTACTGGCACTATTTCAACTATGTAATAGTGTTCCCCCCCCCCCCCCCCCCCCCCCTTTTTTGATAAATAAAATTTTACTAAAAAACGCTCAAAAGGGGAGCGGATCCCAAGAAAAATACAAAAGACCACAAAGGCCTCAAGCCCTTCAAGGAGGCCAAAAAGTCAAAATCTCCTCCAACGATCTATGATCTCTCCCTGAAACCCAACAAAAAAGAGTGGAAAGAATCGAGAATTTAAGCACCGAAATCGACATCACCTTTCCTTCAAAATATCTCCTATTCCTTTCAAGCCATGAATCCAGTGTTTATTTGGTAATGTGTGTATAAACCACCTGTGATGTGTATAATCTAGTTTAGGTTGAGTTTGCATCAACTTAAGCAGACAACCATGTTGTTTGGTTGGGTGTTTCTTTTGCATACCTGCAATATATATTAGAATAATGTGTGAAAATAGTTTGCAAATGCATTTGAAGTGAATCATATATAACACAAGTAGGATGAAGGAAATAATCCCCATATTCATGTCGTGTCTTACCTGCATCATGTGTTTTTTTAATTTTTTCCTATTCCCATGTTTGTTCCATGTCCTACCAGTGTCGTGTTTCCTTGTTCATGCATCATAAATTAAGGGTATTGAAATCCTATCTTTTCTTTTTCTTCATCTCTTATCCAAGTACAAAGAAATATTAAGTTATGCTTTATATTATTTTTTCCCTTTTCTTTCATATCTAATGCTATTATTTCTTTTCTTCGAGCTCCCGATCTAAATAAGATGTCACTAATTATTATTATTATTTTTTATTTTTACTGTTCTCCAAAGTCGATCTTGTATTTTTATAATGGATTTCAAGCCTATTGCTCTTTATTTTTATGCATCCTGACTGTGAGCCCCCACAGGGCAACCTCTCCACACCTCAATCAACCCTCCACGCCTCAAAATATCTCCTATGTAATAGTGTTCCCCCCTTTTTACCCTCCTTTTTCGGTTTTTTTTTTTTTTTTGGGGGGGGGGGGGGGGGGGGGGGGGTGGGGGGGTGGGGAGGGAAGTTCAACTTAAGAAGTACGGATATGACATGGACACGGCAAATAATAATAATAATGTTTTTAATATATATGATATACTTTAAGATATTAAGAGTAATATTATTTTGTATTAACCTAATAATGAAAAAAAATTGTGTTTTGCTGGGAAAAATCAGAAAGATAGAAAGAGGGTTAAGGAGGAGAAACAAAGAGGATTAGGGTTCTGTTAGAAAATTAATTAGGGCTTTGTTAAAAATAAAGGTAAGAATCTGTAGAAGAGAAAAAGTTTATGGAAACAAGAGGAAAAAGGAAAAAGAATGAAATTTGTCGTGAAAGGAAAAAAGAAGAAGAAGTATCTAGGGTTTTTGAAGAAAAAAGAAAAGAGGAGAAAGAAGAGAGAAATGTGGAGAGAGAGTGTGACGACCTCTGTGGACGGGTGTGTTGTGGGCAGATGCGAGAGTTATAGTGTCAATTTGTAGCCGAATTTTTGGTCCTGAATTTTTAATCGATACAACGTATTATACACGTACGTATCCGTATTCAAATTATTATGTTTCCTTTTTTTCAACTGAATTTTTATAACATATTTCTTAGAAAAAATCGAATTATACTCGTACGTTTCCTATAGCGTATTTTACTAACTATGGACGCAACAAGGATCTGGTAATAAATAATATAGTATATTATTATATATACAAAAAATAAAAATAATTCATACTCATTTTTTCCACAAATCATTGGTGTAATTGCTAATTTGAAAAAGTAGACGTGAACCTTTTAAAAAGGTTAGTACATTTTTTATTTTGTAGAAGTGTAGTGGACTCATATGATACTACAAAAAAATAAAAATTAAAAACAAAAACATAAAGGAAAAAGGGACAAATAGTAGAATTATTAATTATATATATATAATTTTTTTTTTTTTTTCCATTTTTCCATGTCTGCAAATATCCATATTTGGCTTTCCATTTGACTAATTCTTTCCAGTCATAAAATTATTTTATTTTTGTCTTGACCCATGACTTTTTCAAAATTTACAATTGGAACCCCATTTTTTTATAAAAGAATAATTGCAAAAAAAATCCGTTCATGTAGGGCACGTGTCCTAGATGTATCCGAAACATGTTCTAGAACAATGCATTATATTTGACAAAGGTATGTAGATGTTTAGAGGCTTCTCTCTACATATCTATCTCTCAAGGATTTTCTCTCTAGATGTTTAGAGGGTTGTCTTCATTCCTCAGGTGTAACCTTTTTGTCATAGTGGATTGTTCATGGCAGGACTAGGTCCTATGATTTTCCCTGTTTAGGATTCTGCATTTAAAAATTCGCATGTCCCTGCTATCGATTTAGTTTCATTTTTACATGATTGTGTTATTATTAACAAACTACAAGGAGAAACTGAAAGAAACTAAAATTCAAATGACAATTAGCGAAAATTTGTTATATAATTAAATTGGAAATTAATTTCCATAAGAGTACTCATCACCCCTATAATCTAATTTACCACTCAAGCTTTGACCTAATCAGAGTCTAGGGTAACGGTCCCAGAAATCTATCAATTTGCTAATGTTTCGAGTTTCTTGAGTTTTTCCTTTTGCTCCCTAATATGCTTTTGTGGATTTATAAGGTCAATTAGAGCTAGCATTCTTTTTTTTTTTTTTTTTTTTAAAGTTCTCTGGAAATCTTTCTCAATGGAACCTAGCGTAAGGGTAGATGAGGTACAGATTTTAATTGAACATTCATGATAGATATTAATGAGAAATTGAGTTTTACGCATCAATGAGCAAGGTAACTATAAATCGAGAGTTATTAATGTGATATCTTCACCTTATTTTTAGCTCCGTGATAACTGTAACATTAATTATATCTTTCTTTCTTTCTTTCTTTTCTTTTTTTTTTTCGCCTCATTAAATTATGGACTTTGAACTGGTTGAAACGTGAAAGTATCTATATTCTGTGTTGAACAGATTTAAGGTTTTTATTTATTTTTTTCATATATTTTTTCTCTTTTTTCCCGGGAAGTTGTTGCTTTTCAAAACAATTTGCTCTTATGGTTTGTTAATTTATTTATTTATTTATTTTTTTGATAAGTAAAATGTATTAGAAAGCGTTCAAAAGGGGAACACGTCCCAAGGTAGGTTTATTTATTTTTGTTGGTCATGAATTAAGGAAAAAGGCAAAAGAAGAGGGGTTATCATGTTCTTTATATGATGCTAGTACTCTGTTTGTGGAGATTGTTCATGGGAGTAGATGCATAAGCTCGGTGTCTAGCTAATGTCATGGAAAGTGGTATTCTATACTTTTAGTGGAGACGTCTTTAAAGCATTTGTATGAGGTGCAGTTAATAATCATCAACATCATTTTATTCCTGTTAAAAACTAACAAAGTAATGATGTTGAACAATAAAAGCTTCTCCAGGTTCTACTCATTGAACAATAAAAGCAGTTGGGTTGTGTTGGTTTATAAAAATAAATTTTACAATTTTTAGAAATAATCTGTTATTTTTTTCAGGTTAAGTGTAAGTAGAATCTAATGGTGATGACAGTTTTGGATATCATTTCTGATCTGGTAAACTGATTAATCTCTTTTACAATCACAAAGGTATTTGAATTTAGCTACATAATTGTGATAAATTTGGCTGTCCTTTGTGAATTGGATTGCCTTTGTTGTTCTCCAAGTTTCTCCATCGAAACTGATTGTTGAACCATGACAATGCTTCTGCATTACATGCAATTAACGTTATGAACTCAAAAACTTTATCAAATGTATAAAACAAAGTGCAGGAGATTGATAGCGCTTTCTCACAGATGCAACTCTTCTCAGTTTTGCATTTATACAATTTAAATGATTTTGTCAAATCCTTGAAACTGCAGAGAGACCTTCAGAGAAGAGGGACAGAAGAAATGATGCCCGTGAGTCTTCGAGGAAGCGACATCGCAGCCAGAGCGGAAGTGAGAGCCCACATCTCAAGTCATCAAGCAGAGACAGGGATAGGGAAAGTGACATGGACCGGGATCGGGAAAGGCACCGTGATAGAGATAGGGAAAGAATTCATGATTCAGAAAGTGAAAGGGGAAGGGACCGTGAAAAAAGTGGAAGCAGGGAGAGGGATGACCACGACAGGGAGAGAGGCAGAGAAAGGGACAAGGATAGAAAGAGAAGGGCGAAATGATTTTCTTGACAGAGGGCACTAATTCACGGTTACAACAGGATGATATGAGTAGTCCAAATGTCAACTGTAAAATTGTCTCTCTTGAAGCTGGTCGATTTGGATGTTCTGGTGATGGAAAAGAAAACCTCAAATTCGACGTAGGTTCGGTCAACTACCAAAACGGTTGCCTGTTTTTACTTACTGGTGGAGACAATATTTCATCATTTTCCATTGTCAGTCTTGTAAGGTGGAACTATGGTTTCTCTTGAATCTACTTTTTGTATTGACATGGGCAGATGTATATTTTTCTAGAAAATTTAAAAATCTCGGGGACGTTCATTCCATATATCAAATGGGCAGTGTTCAATTCCAAAAATGTTTACTCTCGACACCATTTTCATTTCCACTGCTTTTAAGCTCCACGCATATTCAATTATACGTTCTGGAATATAATCTGAGTGGGCATGTTTGAAATCATCGTTGCTAAATTTCAAATTAATAATAACATTACAAAGGATTTATATAATATCTTGATTTTATGAGTGAGTGTATCAATAGATGCATGTAATATGACGACTTCAATAGTATCACTACTCAAATAGTGTAATAGAGATTACATGGTTGGTTCAGTTTTTCAGAGAATTGAAAACAGGAAGGGCATCTTTAGATTCAGCAAAATATACACATTGATGATCATAACTGCATGAAAGGAAGCATTTGCCGGGGAGAGATGATAATGAAATAAAATTAAAAAAAGATGCAGAAGCCATTATAAAGAGAATCATAAAATTCCTTCTACGGTTCCATTGTATCCAGCAATATTGCAAAATTATTGGAAATGGGAATCGCCAAATCCCAAGATTAAGTTGGCAAGTTGCCCACCAGAAATATGAGAATGACAGTTCTTAAATAAGTCACCCTAGTCGCTCGATAAAGATCCAAACTGTACATGATTAATCTGCAGTCAGAAGAAAACTGGAAGGTGCTGGGACACCCACCGGAGGACGAAGGAACCGACCCACCAGTTTTCAGCCAATATTTCCAGCACCCTTTTACAATGGAGCCATCACTAGGAACTCTACTGGATTGATGTGTTGGTGACCATATCTTGACTCAAATCTTCGTTCGTCCTTCCTGGCTCACAATGCAGATGATGGTTGTAATTAATGATCCCTTTCTCCACCAAGGGACCTTATTCGGAAAGCACACCCCAGCAAAAGACATCAGCCTCTACTCCCGCTGGATCCCATGTTAAGCTGCCCTCAATTGTTGGCAGCTCGCACTGTTTGCCATGCAATTTAGCAACAGCCGGCAATTGGAACAAATGCATCCCTCCGAGGGGGCATTCGCATGCAACTCAAGTCCTCACTTGCTTTATGGTAAAACACCTTGTGCACATAATAAATCAAATAGCTCTGCGAGGATCTCACAACCTCTTCATCAACCTCAGTAATCCAAGCATCGTCACATTTGTACCATTGATCACTCAAACGCAAATAAGTCACATAATGGCCAGACTCTAGCATTCCTGAATGAGTAACCACTGCAAAAACCTCAAACTCTGTAGAAATATCTGGCTCTTCACCTTCAAAAGCAAAAATTCTGTTTCCAAACCTTTTTCTTACAATCGAAGATGATAAATATGGGCTCATGTCCAAGGAGAAAGGGAACTGCAAATGCCGGTCAATCTTTTTTGACACTTTCTTGACTGGAGAATGTTCGAATCGTTTTATATGTAAACACAGCACCAATGGGAGCCTTCTGATAGACATTTGTTTCAACGAGTCTTGCTTTTCTTGACAATTTTGGCAGTACAGTTTCTGGTCCGATCCCAACTTCTCAGGCCTTGTAAAGAGATCCAAGCATCCCGCAAGAGTGGATACACCCGTGTTCGCAGTGGGCTTGATAGCCTTGTTGGCTACATTTGTTGAAGAGGAAGTGTTTGTGTTCAGGTCAAGAGAAATGTCCATACAAGGATCGTAAGTTGTGGAAGTGAATCCACATGTCATACAAGTGACATCTGATCTCAACAGCCCAGAGAATACTCTATGAGCAATACAATGGCAATCTTCTTTATCTGTGTGAAAGAAAAATGCTTGTTGATCAGTTAAGCAGAACAAATAGGTACTGCAACATAATTATCCAAATTTTCAAACTTCAGAATGTGTTGCTTTTCCTCAACCCATTGTTGAATTTGGTATACCAATGTACTAACAATATGATACAAAATGATCCCCAAAAACCAAATATTCCTGACAACGAACATTCCAGAATCCAACATTTGCCACTACATTATGGGCACGGCACCCATTGTCAATAACAGAACCGTGTACATGCCATGCTGCCTGGCATATGTGATAGAGAACCACGTATCATCTACTTATGCCACACTCTCGTTAATATTGCTTTGACTTTAGCAATAAAAACCAAATCTTAGCAACAAAATACCTTTATTAGGGTTTCTTGTTTTCCCCTCTTTCTCATGAATCCTGTCCAGCATTGAAATGAAGAACTCATGAGCGTCCTGCTGCTCATAACTGGCAAGATTTTCTGAATGCTGCCACCAACTGGAAACAAAGAGGTTTGAATGAGATCAGTCTATTAATGCAGTAAAGGTACTTGGATCACCTAAAAAGAAAAGAAAAGAAAAAAGTAAATAAATAAAGGAAAGGAAAGGAAAGGAAAGGAATTGTAAGAACTAAGGGATTAACTCCACCTTGAGATGATTAAACCGGACTTTAACAACCAAAATTCATTGAATTATTTGAAGAGACTCCTCAGAAGTTCCTATTTCATGGATTTCATGAAGGAAAGGAGAAGGACAAGGAAAAGGCGCCCATAGTTTCTCTCCAACTCAAATAAAATAAAAAAACTAAAAATCTCTTAAAAGAAATGATAGGGAATGACACGTAAAATTAAAAATTTATCCTTTTCCTGATATTTTCCCTTCTCATGTTTTTCATGGTAACCAGAGAAGGGGACAAAATTTCCTTTCATCATATCTTATCGGTAACACCATTTAATAGGCAAACCAAATGGAGCCCAATTTTTCATATTGAAGCCCACAATCACCAACAGGATTACAAAAAAATCAAATGCATATTGAAGTGTCCAACCAATATTTGACATTCAAAATATATGACGGTTTTTCAATAAATACATTCCACTGGGGGTCATAGATTCCAGTGTTCGATCCATTGAGGAAACTATATAAACTCAAACAACAGAACAAATTAACATGTCTCACAGTTCATAATGAACAAAAGTAGTGGAAATAGAAAATGAGAATACATAAATTTACACTTTTACATGGATCAATCATATGAATAATGGAAAACAAGAGTCTATAGCAACCAAGAAAGCTTAGACATTGAGAAACCAACCAACCAAAAAACAGTGGCAAACCTGTAAAGGAAGTGAGCTGGGCTATAAGGTGTTCTGTTGCCAGAGAATACAGCAGAGTATATAACATCAATGTCACAAGGCAAACACAGTCCATCTGAAGACCTTTTCCGGCAAGTTTCGTGGTTGTGACGATCACTAAGGAAGTAATTCCTCAAAGGGGGTGCATGAAGCAAAGCTTGCAATACAGAATTCATGAAACAAGTATTGCCCAAATTATTCAAACCCCTCAAGCCCAATGGAAAGCAGGACTTGGACCTCCGATCACTCCTCAAAAAGAAACGTTTCGGACTCTTGGAATCTAAATCCACCCCAAAATCCAATCTTTTTCTCTTACTAAATCTGAATTGACCACCACCCACAACCCCATTGTCATTACTTGGCAATCCCATGATGTGTTTACACATCACAGCCTTATCAAAATCAGGATCATAGACCTGATCACAGCACACACAGCAATAAAGCTCAGCCCTTTCCATGTCCACAGCAATCTCATGACCATTATGAGATTGGGTGTGCAAATGGGCATGATTAGAATCAGAATCAGAATCAGGAGGAGGAGAGGAACAACACGACACTGATGAACAGATCAAACACATATAGAGTCTGCCTTGATACCCAGAACATAAACTGCATCTGGGTATCTCTGATTTGGTTTTGTCAATGGTTGTTCTACCATTTGGGGCTGTTTTGAGCCACTTTTGGATCAAATTATAGCCACTAAGCCCATGCTTCAGCTTCAAATCTACAAGGTGCTTGCAAGGCTTCGGGGTTATGTAGGAGGAGGACATGTTGATAGAGATTGAAAGAGGTTTTATTAGATTTATAGCAAGTATACCAAACAAATATGAAAAAATCTTAATAATACGTACTACTAATTAGTAACGAAAAAAATAAATCAATCAATCAATAATAACAAAAAAGAATGAAAAAATAATATTATTATTATGGAGAGTACGAATTGAATTAGATTGATTTGAGGTTGGATTGAAGCTTGAGATGGGTTTGGATTTATTTGGTGGATTTTACTAAATGAATTGATGAAAGAGAGAGAGAGAGAGAGAGGAGAGAGGAACAAGGTTTACTGAAGAAGAGAAGAAGGAGGCGCCTTTTCTTTGGCAGACCGACTCATAGTTTCCACTTTCCATTTCAAGCGTGGGACAGAACGAAAACTTTGATATAGATAATCTGAACCGTTCATCTGGATTCGATCATAGCATGCAATCAGTAATCTGAACCGTTGAATGCATCCGATGATTCAGATGGGAGTTCCCTATCTTTCTTTTTACTGTGTTGAATTGAATTACGTAATTCTCCTCCATATGTTAAATGATCGGTCAATGGTCAACTTATTGGATGGTTAGGATTGATATGAACTAGGCCTGCAGCCCAGGTTTGACCGCCTCTAACTTGAACATTTTGTCTGGACACATTGCATGATTCCATTGGATTGTACCTGCTGTTCATCATAGACAAGTATATCCACTTAATCACAGGTCACCTACTCAACCCACTACAGTGCTCATCATCAATAATCTCATTTATATTTAATAGGAGTATTAATTGGAAAAGAAAATGCTACCGCATGTCACTACTTAATTGACTTTTAACACAAAACTATTCTCACCTTATTTTTAATTTCTATATTTAATTTTACTACGTAACAATATAATCAGTACATCATCGTAATTCAATAATTAAATTCACAAATTCAATAATGAATTTCACGAAATATCCAACTTCAAATTGAAATCGAAAGAATTTTTGTTCAAACTTTAAATGAAATTTTCTTCAATTTCAATTCCAATTCCAATTAATCAATTTGATATTCCAAAATGCAATATTACAGTACATTTGTTGGTAAGTTTACTTATACTACGACAAGTATATTAATTTACTTATACGGAGAATAACAAGATGTTTTTTAAGAAAATGCTATAATATCATACTGTTGTTGCAAAATTGAAAGATACGGGTATTGTTTTTCTTTCAAAGAAACATCTAAATAAAAACAATTTTTTAGTAAAATAAACTGGTATTATTTTTTTTCAAAAGTGTCTATTTTTATTTTGATAATTACCTTTTATTGTTATAGTAAGTGATAATGGTAAAATTAAACATAGAAATTAAAAATAGGGTGAGAGTGGTTTTGTGTTAAAAAGAAATAAAGTAGGTGAGTTTGAAAAATGACCTTTAGATTCTAACGATCTATATAGAAAGAGTTGATTAATTTTCTTACTCCATAAGGAGTAAGAGATCACGACTCTATATATGTATGCATGCATGTATGATTATATGTATTGATGAAGTAGCATGTTGATGATGGTTAATGAAATCATTTCCATTTTTGTTTTAGTTTGCTTGGTAGCAGTTAGACCCGGATGGGGTCATTCCATTAACTGGAAGTTAGAAACATTGTAAGGATTTGAGGAAATAATAATGATTTATGAAGATAATCAAGGTTTATTATACTAATTTGTCACTAAAGATGGTTGGTTTTAATAAGATCCAAAATAAGAAAGAATCGCATGATTGCTCATCGTCAATTGATTTTGCTCACTTTCCCGAGTGAAATGGAATGTCCAACAATCAAAATCAAGAAAATAAAAAGCACTTTCCGGGCAAAATGCTTTTAGTAAAACAGGCATAGATTGGTCTTCAACAGACACAGATTTTCAACGACACTGGCATTTGGTCTTGAACACAGACGCAGATTTTCAACCACAAATTCACAAACTCCATAATGTTTGTGAGAGAAGTTATGCAACTCTTTTGAATAAACAAATGCTTTCAACACTTTTGTGATTGATCCAACTTTACTCACTCACTCATATTAGTATTCAACAACAGCCTTGCAGTGGCAGAACAAAGGATAGAAAGCTAGTGAGCCAAAAAAAAAAGAGTTGGAAAGTTTCCTAACCCAAGGAAATGGACATTACAACATTCAACAAACATAATAGAGTTAGAAATGGACATAGAGATTCTCTCATTTGGCTCCCTTTCCTCTTCAAACGTGTTAGGTAGACAAAGCTATTCTTCTGCTAGAGGATAGTTTCACTTCCCAACTGTAAGAAAAGCCAAAAATGAGGAACCTTAGCCAACAAGGACTCACATGGAAACCACATTGAAACTGCACATGTTTCAAATGGGAGAAGAGGAAAACCAAATCATCGTATTCGCCACAAAACAAACAGAGACAACACAAATATTATTAGGATGCATGATGAATTTAAAAGCAGGGGCTCTACCATTCCCATAAGGAAAACTAAGTCCTAACAGATGGAATAATACTCCTGAGAAATATACTGTGTATGATCCATGAAACACTGGGATGGAATTGCCTAGGCCATGCCCATTGTTCATTAGCTATTAATTCTAAAGACCTTAGGATACTCAGATATAAACCATCCCTGACTGGGATTAACAAACAGCTTGAGAGAGAGGGCCACGGGGGAGCCGGGAATCAAAAAAAAAAACACACTTTGAGTATTGCCCATTTCTCACTTTGTGAACCTGGACCAGCACAGGTAGAGCAATATCTCTCAACTGTAATATCATACAAAACCATGAGCTATTTGGCTGGAATGCTTATATCCCACACTTCTACCCCTTGACAGAAACCTCTTTAACCCATAAAACCCATACATATATTGTGACCAGCATCAGATTGAAGATGCCAAAAATGCCCAAGGACAGCAGCCTTATTACACAAGTCAAGCACAGCAAGTAAACCTAAACCACCCTTTTTATTTGGCTTCCAAACACTGCTTAATGCCACTTTAGCACCATATTTTGATATTGCAGTGCCTGTCGTAGAAATCTCTTAAAAAAATGGGTTCATCTGGAAAATGGTTTTGGAAGGAAAAATGAGGAGATAAGACCATGTGTATATGCTGCTTAGAACTCCTCCAGCTAATCGAAGTCTTCCTTCAAAATATAAGACTTTAGTGCTCCAGTAACTGATCCTGCACAACATTTTGTCACAGAGAAATTTACAATCAAAGGAGTCAGCCTGTTAGTGATTGAAGGGATGAAAAAGATACTTGAGAGGAAGCTGACCAAGCTAGATAGAAACCAAACAATTGGAGAACAGAACTTTTTGTTAGATCGGAAAATCCAGAAAAGTACAAGAAACACTTTAGACGGATAAGGGAGCAAACCAGAAGTGGAAGCAAAGGCGTCAAGAGGATGTCATCTGCAAAAGGTAAGATGGGCAAGCTGCAAGGATTTACATCTCCAATGGCAGGAAAAATTAGGATTATTTCTAATAAGTTGGTTAACTACAGATGAGAATCACCCATAGCTATGACATCCAAGATTTCTTACAGAACTCAGAATTGAACCCATCAGGGCCTCATCGTTTATTGGCCTTCATAGAAAAGAAGCAATTTTTTTATTTCCTGATCAGTTGGGATAGAAGTAGAACAAAGGTCCTTGGCAGTTTCATTAGAAATAGACTTTGAAAAAAGTTGCCAGGGTTGTGAAAGAAACTAACAATATCTTGCTTAATAGCTAAAGGATTGTTGATGGTACGCTTGAAGAGGAGTTAATGCTCATGATCTTTCTTTTGTTAAGCCTGCTTTGAACAGCTCTGTACAATAATGCAGTGTTCTGATCACCATATGCCAGCCAGTGAACTTTAGCTTTCTGGTGATACAATTGCTCTTCAATGTTGCTGAGGCCAAGGTAAGCTAAAGAGCATTCTTTCTCCTAGATTCTAAGGTTATCATTTGCAGGATCAAGGTCGAAGAGTCTTTGAATAGAATACAATTCCTCCATGCCATGCTGAACTCTCATAGAAATGTTACTGAAGTGAAATTGGTTAAGAGACCTGAGGGCTATTTTAAGAATTTTAAGTTTTCTCACAAACCCTAAACATAGTGACGCCATATTCTAGCAACAATAGGAAAGAAGCCAGATAAAATACTTGAAAGGGTTAGCCCTTTTAGGGATAGCAACTGCAAGGTGGACACGTGGGACTATGGTTGGATATAAGTGAAGGAAGGAATTAGAAAGAAGAATTAAGGAAGAAAGAAGACCAATGGGCTATAAAAAGGACTATCAATTTTTTTGCAACATTATTAACACAAGGATATTTAGAAAGAAACCAGAAAAACGAAGGTCCTCCAAATCTATCATGAATGCAATTGGCAAACTCTTCCATGACTGGACAGTACCACCTCCTTTTCTTATAACAGAACCTTACGGCATTGAAGTCACCTAGAAGAATCCAGGGACTAGAGGAGCGTAGCTAGCAAGGTAGTTAATGGACTGCCAAAGAGCTCCTTTCCTCTATAGTATTTAAACCATAAACAAAGGTTGCAAAGGAACTCAGGTAGGAGATGATGGGGAAGGTACACTCAAAGAAGCAAAGGTGGTAGTGAAGAGGATCATTGAGAGGAAAGACATGGCAGCCTTCACTATTTAGTTGCTGAAGAGTTGAAATCAACACTATCCATCACATTTTTTCCCCCGAAGACAAAAAATATTTTTTCTATTTAAATCATTAACAATACAAAGGAACAAAGTGGAAGTTCTAGAGCCGAAATAAACTATACACACATATCACATAGAGTGGAGCACCAAGCTTGGAGGTCACCATGGGATACGACATATTGACGTCTAGAATGCAAAACTATTGATACGGTTTAGCAGAAGAATGGTCTGTCAAAGCAAGCATAAGAGTTCATTGCAGATAATCAGGGTAAGTCTACTTGCTTATGTATAACTGCAATCTGCAATTTTTAGTCACCACAAACAAACAAAAAAAGAAAAAAGAAAAAGAGAGAGAGAGAGAGAGAGAAGGAAAAGAACATCTTGGTGACTTCAATCATGGATGGTTGAACATAATCTCTCTGCAGTTGCCAGTAGGAGAGCAAGACTAATCATTTATATCTTGATGACTTTAATCGTGTATGGTTGGGGATAATCTCTCTGCAGTAGGGGTGCATATGCAAATCATTTTTGTGTGTTTATTTTTATTTTTTTGTGCTTAAAGAACATATATTTAAAATAAAGGACATTTGGTCCACAAAGTAGGGAAAAAAAAGGTGGAAGCTCTTTCTAGTTTATACCATAGAGAATGAGTTCGAGTCTTCGACCATGTTTTTGACAGTTCCTTTGTTTTTTTCTTTCAGATGATCCTGACTGCTACTGCAGCATCTCAACTTTCTTCCAACACATCAAAACTAGACATGCATAATTGAATGGAAGAGATAATTTGTAGTCACCCTTTTAACTGCAGAGCTAAAGTTACAAATCATAAAATTAAGGGACAGCGAATGTACAGATATTGAGATTTTAAAAAGAAAAAAGAAAAAAGAAAAAATGGGATAGAAAATTCAGTTGAGCACATATGAGAAAGATCAATTATAGAAGCTTTTAAAATTGAAAGGTTTCTAAGATAGCCGGCATAAGACAGTATCTAACTGAATAATTTTAGTACCTGATAACTAGGATATAGGAAATTTATAGGATTCATGAGAGAAACACACTGAACACAGAAGGTGACATGAGATTGCAAATGGGGATAAAATAGGGGAAAACCTGGAATGGCCCAGATCAGCACATACCAATTAAAGAAATATGCAGTAATACGATAAGATTCCTATAACAATCCCAAGTCAAGGAAGCAAAATATTACCAAATTTGAATAAAGTTGAGCTGAGATGGACAATTGGTGAAACTGGAGTATAGAATTTGAAATAGAGACACATGGCACACCAACTATGAGAGTAATTTTATGTCTGATTTATTAATTCATAATTCCAAACTTTGATAATGTTCCTCATTTTGCAATATCGGAAAATATTGAAAGAAATAAATGATATCACAAAAATGTTTTTCAAGTCACACTGAGAAAGGCAAACACCAAAAAAATAGAACTTGCATAACAGAAAAAACAGGGGGAAAAAAAAAGCATAAAAACAAAAACACAAAAACAAAAACAAAACAAAAAAAAACCAATTAATACCTAGAGCTCAAGGAGTTGGTGAAACGAAATAAACAAAGAATAATAACAGTCTCATTTTCCTACTCTCTAAGAACAATTTCTTCAAATCATAAAAATCAAATTGGTGGCATGACATATGTCGAGTACGTGGTGCAAGTCAACAAATTGATGTAAGAAAGCTATTGTAACATAAATTTATTCTGAGAAAATACAAGCAATAAAATTGAAGCCGCTCGTCAATATGTTATAGCATAAAACTTCTATTGAAAAAAGTGTTTTTAATAAAAAATTATATTAAAACACAGAAATAATTACAATAATAAACCTGTTTCATACAAATAGATCAGCAAAATAAACTGTATTAGACAGATTAAATTAATATTAGATACACAGTGAGCTTAGACTTACGAGACCAAAAGAAGCAGCTCAAACATACAAAATGAATGCATACGAAATATGATTATAACCAAAATATGAACTAGAATGACTTACAACATACAAAATTAATGAATTTTTCTGCCTCAACTTGTGTTTAGACTTTATAATCATTGTAAAATATGAAGTCCGTCACAATTCAACAAAAGCATAATAATAAGCTGGAAACAGGAAACATGGATCAGTAAAACCAAATTGCAGTGGAGACCAATTGCTTAGTAGGACATATTACATAAACCCAGAATGTATTAATTAATGCCAAAAGATCAATAGGACAAAACTGCATAAAATTTCAACCCATACACACACACAAAAAAAAGAAAAAGAAAAGGAAATTTACACAACCTGACCTCCATTTATTTATGCACCCCAATCATTCATGAGACAGTTATATCATACAGGAATCTTCAGATCCAACAACCAGAAACCACAATTAACAAACCAAATAAACAAAGAAAACCGAGAAGTTGATGCTTCAAACAACAGACAGTATCACATACAAATATATATATATATATATATATATGGATATGTAATGATGAGAATGATCTACTAAGGGACAACTCGGCCAACAATGGGGTACTTAGCTTCGAATTTCTTTTCCCAATCGTTGAGGACACCAATCTCTTTGTCGGAGAGTGCGTCGAGAGAGGCACAGACGTCCTCTTCATTTTTGCTCATCTTGGCCAGAGCTCTGCTGGCGTCCTTGCCGGAGAACATGGCGTATGCGCCGCCGGGACCGTAGAAGGACTTGCCGGTGGTGACGTCAAAGATGCGGCCTTTCACCGCCAAGTAGATGGGCTTTGACGGATCTGTACCGTCGTATTGCTTCAGTTGGTCGGACGTCAGCTCCATTAGATTATCTATCTATTCTATCTATTGTGACTTCCTGTGATGTAATTACAGATACCCCCTCTAGTCTATATATATTTAGGGCTAATTTCATAAAACCCCTCAATACTTTTAAATTTTTTATTATAAACCCAACTAATTTTGAAAAATACACTATAAAAAGTTATCATATTACCTTAATATACATATATCCGGTTAATGAGACTGTGAAATGACAAATTTAATTTTATTATTTAATATTAAATTATTTTTTTTTTTAAATTACAAAAATACCCTTTTGATTTGTCTACCCACCATCTCTCTCAAACTCTCACCCCTCTCTAAAACAGATCCATCAAAAAAATCACCAAAAGCTCAATAAATTCAAATTGTTTCTTCCTTCGTTACGAGGGCTTCTTTGTTGGTCATCCGCAGAGTGCAATTGGCTTTATATCCAGCTACATATTGTATCATGTTCTAGAAGACCAAGACTTGATAAGTGGACGGATCGAGCCAAGAAGTGCATAGGTATTGGTATTTACTCTAATTTCATTTTGTCCAAAAGATCAAACTTATTCTATCTATTTTTTAAATAGTTTTCATAAACGTAGCGACATTGCTCAAGTAGTAAAAGGCCAGATGCCCCTCACCACCCCCATAATGCCAAGTAGCAGGCCAGATGCCCCTCACCACCCCCATGATGCCAAGTAGCGACATTGCTCAAGTAGTAAAAGGCCAGATGCCCCTCACCACCCCATGATGCCAAGTACACTCATTATCCCTCCAACCATCGCCAAGTCAAAAAGATAATAATAATAATAATTTTTGTGAAAAAAATAAAAAATAAAATTTCAATCATTAAATATCTTTTTATATTATTTTTATTCGCTAACCACCAACCTCCCTGTATGATTGCTATCACAATATTAAATCTCAGATTTCAATTGAAAACTTAAATCTTTTTATTTTCCACAATAGACAGAAATAATTAACATGAAATTGAAAATTTATTTCACTATTTACCTTCCATATATTTGCAATACAAATTCTCCTCCCAAAACCCGCCCAGCTACATTTAATAGACCGTTTTGATTGGAGACGGAGAGCTTTGCTAAATTGGGACGTGGATGGGGTTGGGGTCCCCCGTCCCAAACCCGCCCGTCGCCACCGTGATCATGTAATCATTTCTTTATATTTTACATCAATTCATCATTCCAACATACTAATGGAAAATTCACAGTAATAACTTCGTACCTAAATCTATTCAATAAATAATGTTTAACAAAAATGACATTCAATTATACACTTTGGATCACTTTAAGTTACTACAAAGTACAAACTAATTCTTCAAGCCTACAAGTTAAGAGTAGTATGGTCCATGAAATCATAACCACCAAACTCTTGTGTTAGACCAAAGTGAACCACGAATTATTCAATTATCCGCTCCAATAATTCCGCTTTACGTTCATCTATCCTTGGAAATTCACCGCGCCTGGAGATCAAACCAAGAAAGCACCCTAATGCAGGGGAATACCACCACCAGAATACTCAACCTCCTGAAATGAAACACTCTTGCTTGTTAAAAAGAATTACATTGAGTAGCAATCATACAGATTTTCAGCAATATTCACAGGCAAAAATGAGAAGAAAAAACATTGGTAGAAAATATAACGTCTCAACCATAACCAAGGGAGTTAAGAGATTGGCATAAACAACGGCAGTATACAAGGTTTGAGAAAGTCCTATGGTTGAAAGTGCCACATACATCAGTTATTTCCTTCATACACACCCAAGCATGGATCAGTGAAGGGCTTCTAAATTTATACTTTTTTGCATTTAAAGCCATAAAATTTTGAAATTGCCCCCTCTATATTAATTTGCCCCCCCTCATATGAATTCCTAGATCCGTCCCTGTACACACCATTGAGAAGTTATATAATATGAACATTTCTTCAAAAACCCAATTGATTGATGAATAAAGTCTCATTTGTGTGATTTCAAGGAGTGTTCAAAAGTGTTCTACATGTTCCAAGCCCTAAATGATTTCAAGGTACATGAGGAGTACCAAGTGTAGCCGATTATGTTGCAGGATTGCACCTTCCTATCCATGATCAAGTTGTTTTCCAGGACTTGGTACAGATAGATGATGTGTATTGTCATGCGCTTAAGGTATAGTCAATTTAGGCAGTCAACTCATGGGATAGGTATGGCTTAGGGTGCAATGGGATCAACTGGTAAACTCAAGTAGGAGGTTGAGTGTCCAATAATATTCAAAATATAACACCTCCAATGTCCACTAAAGCCAATCAAAATCAAGCAGATAATGTTAAGGTTATCCTCGGTCCGAAACTTACTACACTCAATTGCTTCAAGTGTGGTCAACCAAAATATAGACCTCAGCTTGTGCTAGGAGAAAATGTTCAATTTTTATAGATCAACGTGTACGTGATCACAACCATGAGAATGAGTTTGATCAAGATTGATTCAATTGTAGAGGAAGAGACTTCAGTTCAAGAGGAGGAAGTTGATGATGACATTGATGGTAAGTTCCTCCTGATTTAGTGTCTGATGGCTCCTGAAGTCTCATCAGATGACAGATGGTGACAAGTATCTTTTACATGATAATGAGTTTGATCAAGATTGACTCATTTGTAGAGGAAGAGACTGAACTCCAAGAGGAAGTTGATGATGATATTGATGGTCAGTTCCTCTCAGTTTAGTGTCATGATAGCTCTTGAAGCCTCATCAGATGATAGATGGTTTAGACAAGTACCTTCTACACCACTGGAAAAGTGTGGTAAGCTATATTACATGGACTCTCCCATCTCCTTTCATGTACCCGTATCGATACAACACGACATGAAGATCAGTATGGGTGTGTGTCCAACACACAAACTCAAATCAGACAGTTCGGTGTTGATTGAAGATGAAGTAAAAAACCAAAATTTAATAGAAGAAAAGAGTTTCCTATTTATGGGATAGGTAGAAACCCCCTTATCACCACGTGCCATTTAATTAAAAATTATAATCAAGTATACCCTTAAAGAACAAGAAAATAAAATATTACATTAATTCTATAATGCATAATATATTTTAATGTGTAGTACGTGTCCACATGCCTGCATCCAATTGGATACACTTTAGTTAAACTTAATGTGGTAAGCTGTGGTAAGTTGTTATTCATAGCACATGCACTGAAAACTTTGTCTCCCAATAAATGGTTGACAAACTTCAACTGAAAGGAAAGAAATTAGCCAGGCCATACAAGGGGCCTAGTTTGAGGAAACAAAGGAGGTCATTTGAAGTTTTCATTTACAAGGTGCCCAAACTTTGGTTGTTTAGGGAAGCTTTTGTTGCATAAAATTAACTGTTCAATAGTGCAGCATTAATTGAGTAAATGTAGTAGCAAATAAGTCAACATTTTTTTACTTATCAAAAAATAAATAAAATTAACTGTTCAATAAAGTTTGTAGTTTAAGCAAAATAAAATCTGCAAAGTATAGCTGATTTGTGGTTGATTACTTATCAAAAAAAAAAAAAGATTTGTGGTTGATTATTCATCATTTTCTAGTTATTTAAAATAATACCAATATTAATTTACCGATTGTTTTAGATAAAATTCATCAGTTCTCCACCCATTTTGTAGAAGTCTTGTGGTAAACCTAGGGCTGCAGCATCATTGTTTTAAATAATGAAATGATAGAATTTATTTATACAATACTGTTGTTTGGATAAAAAGCTTTTATTTGCTTCAGATTCTGATATGAACTCTCAAAATGTTACATTAGCAGCTTCAAGTAATTGTCAGAAAACATTCACTTACCTAGGAAGCCCGATTAAGCGTACATATTTGAGCCCAAAACAACATGAATTTTGTGCATTGAAACTGGTCAATACCTAGCGCTGCAGCATCATTGTTTAAAAGAATGAAATGATAGGATTTATTTATACAATTGGGATAAAAGGCTTTTATTTGCTTCAGAAACTGATATAAACTCTCAATTTGTTTCATTAGCCGCTTCAAGTAATTTTTAGAAAACTCTCACTTACCTAGGAAGACAGATTAAGCCTGTATATTTGAGCCCCAAAACCACATGAATTTTGTGCATTGAAATTGAAGCGTCAGACCCAATTTAAGAGTAATACTGATTTCCTTTCTCCAGTAAAATCTACACTCCTAGGTAGGTTTCAGATAAATTAACAAGTGATTTTTCACCTTGCCAGATGCTCAGGTTTTTCTTTTCTCTATTATATCTTCATTTTACTGCTTCTCTAGTTATTCCTCACTTCAAACTCCAACAATTTGGGTAGAAAGCATGCTATAACAGTTTTGAACCCTCAACAACCCCTTGAGGTTCAATTCTCTACGTTAAAACTCCATTAATTTGTTGAACCAACTGCTTTTCATCAACTTAATATTCTGTGATAACCAAACATTTTCATACATTATTTCGCTCGCAAATGTACCTTATTGGGTGCTACCAGAGCAACTCAAATTGTCCCACAGTTCAAACAGCTCTGGCAGCAGACACTTTTGCCCTAAATAATAGGGGCAGTCCTGGTGTAAAAGGAAACCTAGCTAGAACTTAATTAGTAGTGCATTGGAACTTCTTCAAAGTTCAAAACAGTAAAGAACAGAGACTTGTAGCTTCAGCTTGATGAATTGGCAGAATATTATTCCAAAAAAACTTCTATATTAGGTAATAGTCAAGCTTTAAAAACTGTAATTCTGCTCACAATCTCACTATTACTATGTTATGAAATTTGAAATACATCGTGGTAAAGCCTCAAAATAACTAAAAAAAAAATTCTATTTATACATAAAAATTGTTTTTTTTAGGTAAGTATTCATCAAGAAACTTAATCCCTCATATACAAAATAGTTTAGAACACATGAAAATAACTAAAGGAAAGTAGAAAAGCTTGTAAAACTCAACATTGTTTTATGAAAAAGCACAAAATATTTGATTGTTTTGAGAATTGCTGCTGCAATTCTTGTACCCAATGCATCACTAGTTCAGATTGAGTTTGAATCTCTGCAATTGTTCATATGACTCATTTCAGTAACAAGATGAAAGGACGCTTAAACTTCAGACAACCTAAATCCTATAGCAGAAAATGGAAAGCTACTAATGGCTGTTTGGTTCAGTTTCTGATTTAGAGAACTCTCTCTCATTTTTCTTTCAGAGTATTTTAGTGTTGTTAATTCATTAATCCTGACAAGATAACACCGTAATTTAGTAAGAGAACAGGAATTTTTATACCAATTAAACAAAGAAAACTGTATGCCAGTTGGGTACAAGTATTGAACCTGAGCAGGTGGTAAGGATGAAACCCAGTCTGATGCATGAGTTGGAAGAAGACCCAATGTGTTAAGCTGGCCAACAAGAAGTAAATTTCATATGAATAAAGGAGGACATTAGAAATGCCACAATATAAAAATACAGTTATTTGAAGGGTCAAAAAAGGCAGCCCACCTTCCAGACACCCAGTGCTAGACCCGCCAAGTTAAGGGCAATGAAAAGTAATTTGGGACCGAGGAGTTCCACTTTACTGTCCTTGTAAGGCTCAAAAACTGCAAAATGAACTTGACAGTTAACATGTTTGAGTTCGAACTTTGAAGAAAGAAACATAACACCTAAAAAATTGCTAGGTGGAAGACCATGACATGCTGAAACCATGTGAAAATTGCGTGAAAATGGAAACCTAAACATCAATTTCTACAAGTGCAAGTCAAATAGTTCATTTCCAATATCTTCACGGTTGTAAATTTCCCACACATAGATTTAATATGGACAATAAGTATAAATAATTCTAACTTATGGTTTAAGTGATTGGGTAGAAGGCCGCATTTAAAAGGAAAAAATAATACTTATTGCTGGAGAGAAAAGATTATTTTACAGTTATAGAACAAGGGCTTATGAGTCTAAAATATAATATCACCATTTGTATCTTTTCTGCCAAATGACTCCTACAATGTCTTGGGGAGACTAGAACCATCCACCTTCCGCTTTTAAGAAGAGGAGATACCCCTAGGCCACATGCCACTATTAATGCTTGCCAAACTTTTCATGAAACTAAGGAAGGGTAACTGCCCCAGGGGGAACTGATGGAGATCCCAAACCTAGTGGTCTACACACTTACTATAGGCGTAGGTGCAGAGGATGATTTCTGATTTATTCTATTTTATTTTATATTCGACTTTATTTATTTATTTAGGATTTATGTTCCCTAATTTTTATATTTGACTTTCTTCAAGTATTTAGGGTTTTAAGCTATAGATATGGCTGATGGATACATTGTGACGTACGTTTTTATGATTATTGATATTGATATTGAGAATATTGTTTAAGATTTCTTCCCTCTATTCTTCTTCTTCTCCCTTATTCTCTATTCTCCTGCATCAGTTTTGGTATCAGAGCAAAGATCCATAGATTTCACAACTGTTCAGAGCAATCAAACCCTTCTTCTTCTCCCTTATTCTCTATTCCTCTTCTTCTCCTACATCAGTTTTGGTATCAGAGCAAAGATCCATAGATTTCACAACTGTTCAGAGCAATCAAACCCTTACTCTTCTGTTCACAGCAATCAAGTCCATCCGTACAAGTCGATCCACAAAACCCTAGTCACTCCCATCCAGACAAGCCCCAACAGTCGTTAATCACCAGCCCTGTTCACTCATCGGAACCCTAGTACCACTGTCACAAAATCCAGATTGGAACCCTAACATCACTGTCGCAAAATCCAGAACCACACCACCACTGCCTCACCATCACCGAAACCCAAACAAACCCTTTTTACCGAAACCATCAGTCATACTCCACAAAACCTGAAACCTTAGTCATTTCCCAAACAAACTGTAATTGCCAAAACCCCTCAACCCATACCATCGGTTCTCTGCAATTCCCAAAAAAAAAAAAATCCAGCACCCAAAATCACCGCAAATCAGTCACAAAACCCCAACACATAAATTGAAGCCAAACTCCAGCGAACATCAAGCTAACAGATTCTTGCCGTCAGTTCTTGCTACCGTCTTCAGCCGTTGCCGGAACCTGCAAATAGTCTCACCATCTTCGTAGTCATCATTGGAGCACTATATCGTCGCCATAAGATTCATCTCTGGTCATTGCCGTCGTCGGAGCTTCCTGTCATCGCTGCAATTAGATTGTTAACTCGCAGAAGCCTTGGGTCCCTGGTTTGCGATTTGGAAAGCAGTACAGATTTATATCCCATTCCAAACTAGGCATGTTTGGGTACAGGTACAAAGGTAGTCCAATCCTGGAACTAAACTAGAATTGAACCATTTTCAGAAGAAGCCAGTCCAGAAGTAGCCCAGTTCAAAAAAATAAAAATTAAAAAGAATATCAGTTTCAGTTTACTGCCACTTTTGGATTGCCTGCTTCACTTGGGATCCACTTGGCACTTTGGAAAAGGTATTTTTTCTTCATTTGAAAATTGTTCTAATACTTTATATATTTATTTGGTAGTCTAGAAAATTTTGCATGGTCCTAACTGAAACCATTTAAATTTTGAACCCTTTTAAATTGCCTTAGTTGCACCTTAATTTCATAATCACAAAAAAATAAAAAATAAAAACAAAACTCTTTATTTTGAAATCATCTCGACGGACCACGCACCTTCTTTGCACCCAAATCCCTATCCCTTGTGCATGAACTTTTAGTATAATTAATTTCATTGCATTCTAAATTCCTATTTATGCATAATAGTATTTAATAATTTGAATTACTGAGTTCAATTTAAAGTCAAATATCGGCACATATTCCATTAAATCACCATGACCATTGGAGACTTTTATGCAAAAGTCAATCTAAAATGGAAGAGAAAATTCATAACATGGAACAAAATATGAAAACTATTGCCAAATCCGTGGCCCGACTCAGTGAAGAGGTGGCTAAACTAACCACTTCTATGGGTAGGCGTCCTAGTAATGAGCATGAGGTTCACATGTCTGTTTCTCCTATGCTTAGGACAAGTCCAAATGGTAGTCATCATGATAATCCAATTGAGCTTTCAAATCCCCGTCGTGGCCTTCTCCCTGTGCTAGAGTCATCTCGAACCACTCAACAAAGGGATCCTAACTTTAGGGAGAGTCAAGTTCCAAATTCTAGAAGACCTATATCACATGTTCAGCCTGATCGTAGGTTTCCACAGGAATACTTTAGGATTTAGATGACTTTGAGCCAGTGTTTGAGGATGATTGTGAGGATCATCAGAGACCTTTTAGACCCCAGGGTAGATACCAAGATAGGCGTCACCACTTCCCTCAAAGACATTACCATGACCAACCTAGGTACTATCCTAATGATTCGGGCGACATTACCAAGAAAGTTAAGGTCGATGCTCATAAACTATGATCGTAGGTTAGATCCTAAATCCTAATGCGTTCCTTTACTTGTTAGTTGACATGGAAGACTACTTTGAGTGGTATGATATGTCGGATAGTCACAGAATACAATTTGCAAAGATGAAATTGGTGGGCTCTGCCAACAGGCATTGGCAAGGAGTTCAAAGCAATTTAGAATGCTTATGTGATCCACCTGTTACACTGTGGACTGAAATGAAACATAAATTAAAAGAAAAATATCTTCCCACATACTACAGGAGGCAATTGCTAGACCAATGGAGACAGATGTCTTCTAGTGTGACTGAGGCACTCATGATAAGATGTGAGGTAAATGAAGAGCCATGGGTCACAGTAGCTAAATTCATCAATGGATTAAAGCCTGAGATCAAGAGAGAAGTCAATTTGCATGTGCCTGAAACGTTAGAAGAAGCTTATCATAAGACCTTAGAGATTGAGAAATATTATAAGCTTCCTAACCCTAGGCGAATGATTTCATAAGCTGGGGAGTCCCAACAACCAAGGTCGGTTTCTTTCAAGAGATCTTGTGGAACTGTACAATCTGGGATCGCTGCCTCTAGAGGTAGCAATAATTTTGATCAAAGGGCTAATATTTCCAAGGGTAAGGAAATTTCAATGTCTAGAACTCGACCTGATATGTCATCTATTGAGTGTTTTCATTGTCATAGTAAGGGTCATTATGCTTCACATTGTCCTCATCGTACAATGACCATAAGCACTGAGAAAAATGAAATTGTTGAAGAGGAATTGCTTAGTGTTGTCAATGCTGTAAAAGATCCCTTAGAAAATGAGGAGGTTGAGGAAGATTTAGAAATTGAAGATGCACACATTAGTGTTGTGTGGTGCATTCCAACTACTCCTACTAAGGAGGATAATTGGAAATGCACCAGCATCTTCCATACATACCTAAGATGTGGAGATAGAGTCTGCAAGATTGTCATTGATGGAGGAAGTTCAATGAATGTAGTTTCCAAATCAGGTGTTGCATGAAGCTTCAACACGAACCACACCCACAACCATATAGGGTAGCATGGGTAAACAAGACTTCAGTGTTTGGTTCCTCTCCAAATGGGCGAATATTCGGAAAAGATTTGGTGTGATGTCCTACCTATGGATGTAGCCTATATACTTCTTGGTCACCCCTGGCTTTATGATTACTAATCATGGGAGAGATAACACTTATGTGTTCAAATATAAGGGCAAAACCATCATGTTAACACCCACAAAGCCAATTGAACAAGATAGTAAATCCAAACATAAGTTGCAATCTCAGTCTAATGAGAAGAAACACCTCCACATCTTGACCCGAAAGGAGGACAGGAAGCAGGCATTGAACTAGCACTTGTTGCGAAGGAAATTCCTGAAGAACCTTCTGATGAAGTGGTGGATCCAACTCCAGTTGAGGTCACTAAGTTGTTGCAAAAATTTCAAGATGTGACACCGGAGGAGTTGCCAGATGAATTACCTCCCATGAGGGATATTCAACATGCAATTAACAGGCCAGTGGTCTAGCAGTACCAGACCTCTACTTCCCAAAGGGAGGTCAGGGATTCGAGCCTCGGTGGAGGCATGTGTGTGTGAGTACCAACATGCAATTGACTTAGTTCCAAGATCCCAATTGCCTAACCTCCCTCATTTTCGAATGAACCCTAAGGAGCATGTTTTTTTTTTTTTTTTTTTTTTTTCCCTAGTTGGGACTCACACACACTACCTCCACTAAGGTTTGAACCCCTGACCTCCCTTTGGGAAGTAGAAGCCTTGTACCGCTAGGCCACAAGCCTGTTGGTTAAGGAGCATATTGAATTGAAAAGGCACGTTGATGGATACTAGAGATAGTCTTAGTCCATGTGTTGTCCCAGCTCTTTTGACTCCTAAGAAAGATGGTTCTTGGAGAATGTGTGTTGATAGCCTAGCCATTAACAAAATCACAATTAAGTATAGGTTTCCCATACCTCGTTTAGATGAAATGGCTGGTTCCCAGTGGTTCTCCAAGATTGACTTGCGTAGTGGTTACCAGCAAATCCGCATTAGACGAGGTGATGAATGGAAAACCACCTTTAAGACACAAGATGGACTTTATGAGTGGCTAGTCATGCCCTATGGGTTGTCAAATGCACCAAGTACATTCATGAGGGTCATGGCTCAAGTCCTTCGTCCTTTCATAGGAAATTTTTTGGTGGTTTACTTTGATGATGTTTTAATTTATAGCAGGTCTAAAGGAGAACACTTATGTCATCTTTGACAAGTTCTTGAGGTTCTTTGAGTTGAAAAGTTATATGTTAATCTCAAGAAATGCTCTTTCATGAAGACTAAAGTGATTTTCCTAGGATTTATTGTCTCTAAGCAAGGAATTGCTGCAGATCCCAAAAAAGGTAAAAGCAATTAAAGAGTGGCCTGAACCTAAATCCATTTCAGAGGTTCGTAGTTTCCATGGTTTGGCTACTTTTCATAGGCGGTTTATCAAGGGATTTAGTTCCATTATGGCTCCTATGATAGACTGTTTGAAGAAAGGGGAGTTTAAATGGGCTGCACCTGCAGCGCGAGCCTTTAACGAAATCAAGCAGAAAATGACTGAAGCACCAGTTCTACGTCATCCTAACTTCTCCAGAGTTTTTGAGGTTGCTTGTGATGCGTCTGGAGTTGGAATAGGAGGTGTCTTAAGTCAAGAGGGTCAACCCATTGTGTACTTCAGCGAGAAGCTTAATGAAGCTAAACAAAAATATTCTACTTATGAGAAAGAGTTTTACATTGTTGTACATGCACTCCACTATTGGCGATATTACTTGTTGAAGAGTTTGTTTTATACTCCGATCACCAAGCCTTAAGGTACCTTCACTCCCAAAGAAAGTTAAGTGCCGAGCATTAAAAAAGGGTTGCTTTTCTACAAGAGTACACTGTTGTGCTCAATTACCATAATGGCTCAGAAAATAAGCCTGCTGATGTTCTCAGTCTAGTTGTAGCTATTGTTCAAGCTATGAGTGTCAGTGTTATAGGCTTTGAAAGGATGAAGGATGAGTACTCCACTTGTCCTGATTTTCGGAAAATATTTTCAGAGATTCAGGATGGTAACCGTAGATATTATGTTGACTTTGTGATTAAAGATGGTTATCTATTCCGAAGCTCTAGACTTTGCATTCCACGCACATCAATTAGAGATTTCTTAGTCAGGGAATTACATGCGGGAGGACTTGTTGGTCACTTTGGTAGAGATTAGACAATTTCCCTAGTAAAGGACATAATTTATTGGCCTTTCTTTACAGGGTGACGTTGCTAGGATCGTTTCTCAGTGTCGCACATGCCAATTGGCTAAAGCTAAGAAGAGAAATACTGGATTGTATACCCCTTTGTCTGTCCCACACACGCCATGGAGAGATCTTATCATGGATTTTGTTCTAGGGTTGCCTAAGACCTCTAGAGGACATGATTCAATTTTAGTTGTTGTGGATAGGTTTTCTAAGATGGCTCACTTCATTTGTTGTAGCAAGACAACTGATGCTTCACATGTGGCTAAGTTGCTCTTTGGGGAAATTGTTAGGCTCCATGGATTACCCATTTCCATTGTGTCTGATAGGGATGTCAAGTTTGTGAGTCACTTTTGGAAAGACACTTTTGAAACTTTTTGAGACTAATATGAAATTTTCCTCTGCTTTCCAGCCCCAAAATGATGGTCAGACCGAGGTTGTTAATAGAAGTTTAGGAGACTCACTTAGGTGCCTATAATAGTTCGGTGAATAGGTGTACTGGTAAGAGCCCTTTTGAGATTGTTTACGGTTTTTCCACTCGCCAGTATGTTGACCCTATTCCTTTACCACTTGAATCCCATCCTTCTGAGTCTGCTGATTTCTTCGCCCAGCACATGCGTGATGTTCATGCAGATATAAGACGGAATATTGCTCAAGTAATGAAAATTATAAAATTGCTGCTAACGCTCATCATAGGAATAAAGAATTCAATGAAGGAGATTATGTTATGGTTCGTGTTCGCAAAGAGCATTATCCTAAAAACTCCTCCAAGAAATTGCATGCCTGTGCCACTGGCCCATTTCGTATCATTCGGGACCTGATGCTTATTTACTTGACTCAACATCTAATATGAGTATTAGTCCAATTTTCAATGTGGAGGATTTGTTTCCTTATCGAGGCATCTTTGAGCCTCCCACTTTTCCAGCAGGTACACCCACAGAGTTACATCTTCATCAACACCAGTGCCAGTTCTTTCACCGAGTCAGCCACGGAGTACAGATCAGATTGCAGAGATACTTAACCATCAGATTATTGCTTCTCATCAGGGTGGTTATCAGCGATACCTTGTCCGTTGGAGAGATTGTCCAGATACAGATGCTTCAAGGATCACAGAGGATGAGTTTCGTCGCATTGACCCAGATCTTTTGGAGCAATATCACGAGCTTTACTCTACGGAGGAGAGTTCTTCTCAGCCGGGAAGAATTGATGGAGATCCTGAACCGAGTGGTCTACGCACTTACTATAGCCGTAGGCGCAGAGGATGATTTCTGATTTATTCTATTTTATTTTATATTCGACTTTCCTTATTTATTTAGGGTTTATGTTCCCTAATTTTTATATTTGACTTTCTTTAATTATTTAGGGTTTTAAGCCTATATATATATGGCTGATGGATACATTATGACTTACATTTTTATGATTATTGATATTGAGAATATTGTTTGGGATTTCTTCCCTCTATTCTTCTTCTCCTCCCTTATTCTCTATTCTTCTTCTTCCCCTACATCGGGAAAGGGTTGAGAGAAGATTTTTTTGTTTGAAAAAGCTCCCTCTATATAACAAAATAAAACAACTCTTCCACAATTAGAAAGAAGAGAAAACTAATATAAAAGTTGCAGGCAGGAAATTTAAAACTACTCCGGTGCCTCACCTTTCCCAACCCCTTGAAGAGCACTTATAGGCTGCCAAAGAGCTGAAAATGTAATACCAATACTGAACAAATGCACTGTGCTTCCAGCCATCCACATCATGAAACCCATCATTAGCAAATTCTTGAAAGGAGCTTGTGCTACTTCCCATGCTTTCTGCTCACATAGAAATCAATAATAAAGTTAATAATAAACATTGTATCAAGACAGTGGCAATGGTACCAAAAAACTGGTTAAAACATAAAAACTTCTGCAGAGAATAGCTTTTGGTGGGTGGGGGGAAGGGTGGGGGGGAATGAGGTTTTGAAACTGCAGTAAATAGCTGGCTACTCAAATTATAAGCAGAGCTTGCTATAGTTGCTCTCACATTTCAACAAAAATATTGTATCCATTAGTGCGACTCACGAGATGCACTGTCTGGCTAAATGGTCTCTTCTAGGTGCCGAGGTACGTACTGTACTATGGTCCGGAATCCGTGTGAGGAACACAGTTGAAACTCTTCCCAAATCTACAGGGTGTGGAGGCGGATATGAATATTTCATCACTCCTAAATTCCTGTTCACGAAAAGGAAAACAAAATATCTGTATTGAGTCCGGGCATGTCTTGATGAGACCATGCGAAGATATCTTGAATTGGTTTGATTCTTTACATTCATCATTCTATAAATCTTTTTTTGTTGTCCTCACTAAAAAGAGATTGTGGAAGCAGGATGTGACACGTGGGACCGGAGAAGTCAACAATATAAATGCAACTTCTCTAATCTAAGAATGTGATCTGCTGAATCGTTGATGTTATGGCCGTAGGCTCTTCAAACAGACAAAGTGCAATTTGGGTGAACCTCGAGAATTAATTTTTGGTCCACAAATAAGAAAGCCCAAGAGTCAAAGTGTCAACTGAACATAGAAAGAGTGAGACTGTGAGACCAACGACGAAGCCATAGTTGTAGAGACGAACGACGAAGCCATAGTTTTAGAGACGAACGACGAAGCCATGTCAGTTCTTTCTTCTTCTTCTCTCTTCTCCTTTACTCTCTTCTCATCTTTGTTTACTTCTCTCCCTTCGTTTTGTTCTCTTATCTCTCTTGCCCTTTTTTTTTTTGGGCTCTTTATTTTCTCCTTTTTCTTCTTTAACACTTTCTCATTCTCTTCTCATTTACTTCTCTCTCTTCATCTACTTCTTTTGTCTCCGCATCATTTTTTTTTGGGGGGCTCTGTTTGTTTTTTTTTTCCTTTTCTTGTTAACATTTTTTTTTTTCGTTAATAGATTTATTTCTTTTTCTATTCTGTTTTGCCTTTCAAAAAAATAAATTATGTTTTGCCTTCCAAGAAAACAAATTTGTTGGTAGAGAACAGTGGCAGTAGCCTTTTAAAGTATATAAAAGGTGTGGCAAGGAGGGTTCTAAGGCTCAAACTTTAATTTGGCACATGCTAGACGATGGGGTCCACTTGGAGTCTTGCTTAATTAGGGGTTTTGGTCAAATTGCATTATTTTGGTAATTGCATTAATTATTGTGAAATTGCATTGTTTTGGTAAATTGCATCAATTAAGTTATTTGTTACTTTATTAAGCAAGAGTCAACTTTTGATTACCTCCATTATAGGGTAATGCAAAGGTCATCATTTTTTATAAAAAAGCTACTATGTAATTCTGATTACTTAGTCAATGAATGAATAACAAAATATCTTTTGAGATTTCTTGTGAGTGATTCACAAATTCTGAGGGTGTGAGGCCTTCTCTAAGTGTGATACCTAGGCTCTATTGGAGTGATTCCAATAGGCTTTTCTTTGTTATTTTCAATCTTTCTTCACTACTAACAACCCTTGAATCCTAGCTCTGTTTTCTGAATTTCCAGCCCACAAATCTTATTTGCTTTCTTCTATTTGAGCCTTTTCTTTGTCCTACATCATTTGTGCTCTGTTTTATAGTTCTTGAATGCTTATATGGTTGATGGATTTACTTTTTTGTATTTGATATTAATTTTTAGAATACTGATAAGACTTTTTTTTATTATTTTATTATTTTAATTTTTTATAAGTAGAATATTGATACGACTTATGAGATATGAATGCTTTTATGGTACTTTAAAATTTCAATTGTGTCCCTCACTTCATTCGGGCACACATTTCGCACCTCGGTTCCAAAAGACCTCTAGCGCCTTAGTGCACCTTGAGCCTTTATAACACCCCAGTGTACTAGGGTTCTTTCATTTTCGTGCTCCATTAGTGTGAATCACAAGATGCAGTCTGGCTAAATGGTCTCTTTTAGGCGCCGAGGTACGTACTGTACTGTACTATGGTCTGGAATCTGTGTGAGGAACACAACTGAAACTCTTCCCAAATCTACAGGGTGTGTAGGGGAATATGAATATTTCATCACTCCTAAATTACTGTTCACGAAAAGGAGAACAAAATATCTGTATTGAGTCCTGGCATGCCTTGATAAGACCATGCAAAGATATCTTGAATTGTTTTGATTCTTTACATTCATCATTCTATAAATCTTTTTTTGTCGTCCTCACTAAAAAGAGATTGTGGTCCTTGTGGAAGAAGGTTGTGGAAAAAATCTGATTCACGATTTAGAAAATAGGATACTGATTCCACTATGGATCCTTCTCTGATACTGTGCTTCTAATGCTCCTGAAGAAATTGAGAAAGGCATAGGAACTCAGTTCAATTAACATCTAAGATATGATGATCTCTTCAGGTTTGTTTTATAACAAATATTTCATTATTTTGTTGAGGCATATGCATACTACAAAAGAGAACTAATGGAACTATATATACACACACGTCATTTTTCATTTCTCTATTCTAAGAATGTGATCAGCGGTAGGCTCTTTGAAAGGACAAAAAGGAATTTGGGCATTTTTGGTCCACGAGAAATTATTCATTGTAGTTGAAATATTTTTTTAAGTCCAGATTTCAATTTCGGTCAATTTTCTTCTTAAACATGATTAAATAACAATTTTATATGTAAAGAAATACTTATAAAAAAAAAATGAAAGAGAAAAAGAAAAAGAAAAAGAAAAAGAAAAGAAACAGGGTATAATGCAAGGAGTTTCATTACTTGCTTGCTTGCCGAAATTGCATATAATATAATATAATTAATGGAAGCCCTAAATCTAATACATGTATATTTCTTGTATAAGTTAGAGTTACCTGAGATTTCCAATTAGCTTCAGCGTCCTTCTTTTGGCGACTCAGAGTGGAATCATCCTATAGAACAAATAAGAAACAAAATTATATTTTAGTATATTTAATTAAATATATACACACATAGAAAGCAGGAAGGAAGCAAATCTGAATATGAATATGAATCTGAAAAAAAGTAAAACCTGATCTTGAGAAGCGCGAGTGAAGCCAGGTGGATCGGGGATGTCGCGAGAGGAAGGAGTGGTGGAATTGTCAGTAAATTCAACGCCCCATCTGCGACCTCCCACCATCACTCCTTTTCCTTTATCCATCCTTAATTATTTCTATTTCTAATGTGCACCCACCCAGTAGTCTCTGTCTCTCCAACTCTCACTCCTGTTGTGTAACTTGTCTATATGTTTTATTTATATATATATATATATATATATATAGTCTATATACATATGGACTCCTATGCTGTTTCGCTGTACACGTTTTGAAGTATTGCAGGCCAACGATCCTCAATTCAATAATCGAGTGCGGTGCCGGTGCATGTCCTCAGATAAAATTTTATTTTTATTCCAATAAAATTTTAAATTCTAGTTAAACCCCCCATGATTTAAAAAAAGAAGAAGAGATATTTCCTGGTGTATCCAGCCGTGCATCAGCATATTCGAGCCCTATCAATCTAAAAATAAATGATTATTTAAAAGTGTGAATACTTTTAGTCATATTCAACGCGTATTTTATTGTATGTATTTCTGATATAGTCACACAATTGCGATATCTTCAATAGAATATTCATTTTTAAATTTGCCTTGTACAAAAATATGTCTGCTTGACAAATTTGAAAATTGTTTTCTAAAAATTCAGTTTAAAAAATATATGCTATCATAAATATGTTTTTTATATTCCTCTTAAAATAATTTTATATTTTTAGTTCTTAACCATTGTCTTTAGAAAATTGAATCAAGCAGCCCTATATAAAAATGTAATATGTTATTGGATGAACTCTAGAGGGTTTGTAAATAAAGCCTCATCAGCTAAGAGAGGGTCACTTAGCATGATCTGTTAACGTATCAATTTTTATCAAGAAAGTACCGATACTTTTTTAATAATGTGCCCATGAAGTGTCCAGTCAAAAATTAAAATATTAAAATTCCAAGATATTTTTTGACACATGCACCGGCCATGTCTGACACAGGCCGTATCTAATACTGGGAGAAGTGTCTGTGTATATATTTGTTTTCTAATCATCTATATTTTGTTTTCATCATTTATTAGTCAAAATAAAGTCTTTATGGTTCTTTGTTGTGGCAATGAATATTTTTTAACCTTGCACATAGGGTCTGAATGCACCAAATACACAATTTTTTACTACAAAATCTAATGAATATGAGTTTGTAATGAATTTTAGTTGTCCCTAGTATTTTGATTACATGGAAATGCATTTACATTGCATGAAGGTCAATACTTGATTAACATTTTTAGCTGGTCACATAGCTTTGATATTGTGAATTTTGATATTTTATGATGAAATCTAAATGGGGAGAGAGGATACAATTAAAAAGAGAAAATGTGCAAAAAATTCTTACCAAAAAAATATGAAAAAGCCCCTTGTTAAGGAGAGTGAAGTACTCATAATGTAAAAGTACCCAAAAAATATGAAGAAAAAAAAAAAAAAAACCTTTTTAAGGAGAGTGAAGTATTAAGACTGCAAAAGTAAAAGGAAAAATTGAAGGTCCCCCTTTTTGGAATATACACACATGATCTGATGGTAGGCTGGAGCTATTAGCGTTGCATAGGCAAGTAATCTGTTCCATTTTTGTTCTCTCTCTCTCTCTCCATATATGTATAAAATATGCCCAAATTCTCATCAATTCAAATGTGTTGTATAGTATGGAGTGTGGAAACTTTTATCTTATTTGGGCATAACAGTGAGAAGATGTCACGCCCTATTTTATTATTATTATTTTTTTTCCACAACTCACTATGCTTAAAAACATGCAGAAAAACTCTCTACCCTTTCCCTCTGCAACACGCCCCTTATTCCCCTCGGTTTTTCTCCCTGCTCCCTTCTTTGAGAGTGGGGAAGTAATCCTATTCTTTCTCTCCTTGCAGTCGTCAAGAGTCTCTGTGAGTAGAGTCTTTCTCATTTCATCGAGAGTTTGTATTTTCCGATCTAATGTTCTGAGCCGTCTTAGAGGATGGATGTTTCCTAGGTCGCCGGAGATGGATCTGTACGAGTGATCCTTTATGGAGCTTATTTTTATGGAGCAGTTTGTGATGGAGAGTGGATCTGATGCATCTGAGCACTGCGCCGAAGTCAGACATCTCTGGTGCTTGCGATGTTGTGCTCAGTTCCTCGATGGGTCGGCTCCGACGATCAGTCTGTGATTTTTTAGTTGGTAAAACCTTAACGTCATGGCTAACGTTTAGGCACGATATTTTCGATGTTCTTTTTTCGTTGCTGGTGGGCCCGGTCCTTGACAATGCTGAGCATTTGTGTAAGACGGTGCAGATATATATCTTTAGCGGTTCAATTTGCTAGCTTTACTTGTTGGGGCTACTGCTCCCACTCTCACTGGCACCTTCTTGATACACCTTCTTGGTTGTTGTCAAGGCTGTGATCTTGACATTAGTGAGTGTTAGTTTTGCTTTTGATAGTTTAGTGTCTTTTGGCGCTGTATGTGTTTCTTCGTTTTGTGTATGGTCTAATGTTCTTGCCCATGTAGATGCCGTGGCGATTATCTTGCCAGGTTAAAAAAAAAAACATGCAGAGAAAAGCGTCTAAGGAGCATGGAGGGTATATACATATATATATTTTGCAGGGTATTTATAAAAATGTTGAAAAAGCCGCTAATGAAAGAAACCAAGATGGCTGCTGAACTTAGCACCAACATTGCCTTGTGTGGAAAGTTAAAAACGTCATTTTTGTTCAATGCAGCGTCACACAGCACAGCGCTTCAAAATTCTAATTTATAGCAGATTGATACAAAAACAACAACAATTCATGTCTCATGTTTAGTGTAATTACGTTAGATGTTGAAAACAGGTCTGACCCTGTCTCTTAAAACTTAGAGAGGTTACATTCTTTATAGTCGGAATACACACGCTTCTCTTCTGCTGCTCAGGACCTAAAAAACGCTACCCTTCGTCTTTCTGACGTGGATACTTGTCAGTGAGGTTAGCAATAACAAATCCTGCAAAAACCTGAATTCCCAAATGTGGAAAATTAAAATAAATCATTTCATTTATTCGGAAAAATAAATAAATAAATTAGACATACCTGGAAGCATCCAAGGATGTAGATTGCAGAATAGTGACGTCCGTGGACTAACATGTCAGCGACCATTGCTAGTGGAATTGTCAAGGACATACCCAGTGTTGCAACTAATGGCGTCGTCCAAACCACGGACAGGGCCCTGTTTCAAATTGTTTTGTTACGATTTAATAATACTTATAGAACTTAAGTGAGTCCCATATCACAACTCTAAAAATATATACTACGTATATATGATCCATTTTCTTTTGTGCCAAATTAAAGAAAAAAGAAACCTGTTAATGACAGTAGCAGTATTCTTCAGTTTTCCAGACATGGAATAAAGAATTATAGAAGTAGAAAAACCACAATTGAAATTGATGTCATTTCAGTACTATGTATATGGATTTCAAAAATAAAGTTGCATCAATTTATTTATCCTTTTTTTGAGCAACAAATCCACTTCATTAAACCTTCTTTATTTTAGTGATTACTCCATTCTATAGGATGGAGATTTTCTTCAAATGCCAAACTCCCGTGTCCTTTTTATTTCCAACAACCCATGAGTATGTAAATACTGCTCAACATACCAAAAATAATCTGAGAGAACACTCCCCACTAAGCCATTTAACAGTACAACTTCACCAATGGATGCTGAATGTGGAAATGCAAACTGAGGTTCTATCCCCACGGCATTTAGTGGCCATACTGCATTTAACAACGTAAATTGATAAAACAAATTGGTTAGAGACATTTTAGCTTCAAAACTACAACAATTCACGAAACCAAGCATGTCATGTACAGAGCAAACAGAATGAAACAAGATCAGTGTCGCAACATGCCACACTAGTAAAAATTGAAATATATAATTACAGAAGAGAAACAACAGTTACTTCATCTCTAGAAGAAGAGATAAAAAAAATAATAATAAAAAAAAAAATTAAAAAAAAAAACAATGCTGGAATACCAATTGAAAGGGGCGTACGTCTTGTTTGCCCACCTCATTTCGAATAGAAGAATTCACTGGTTGCAGGTAATTATTTGTAATCCAAGGATTTCCAAATTGCCCAAAGCAGAAACCTATGATAAGTAATGTAACAAGGGTACAATCACTAGAAGAATAAACCTAAATTTAAATTAACCCACCACACCCATAGAGGAACTGTCAAAATCTCATTGCAAAAGCTCAATCGGGATGAGGGACTGGTCTAGTTAAGTTGTAGAAGAAACAACCTGATGTTCAAAACACCTCGAGAGATTGGGAGTTTCCTAAAAGTTGTGGCATCATAGCCCATGGAGAAGCAATATGTAAGTACCTAGTGCCATTTATCAATGGGGAATTTCCATGGAAGTTGAATGATTCCACTTTTTAACTACAACTTAAATTGGAGTGTCTTTGATTTTGGTCTTTTTGTTTTCTTGAGTCTTAAATTAGTAAGTATATTTTTGATCTAAATAGACTACTACATCCTAATTTCTTTTAGTGATTCTGCTTATGTCCCCACGTTGTACTACCAAATTTGCTTGTTAGATTTCACAAGATGTAATACCCCTAACTAAGTGATTAACGGAACCTAAAAAACAAACTAAGAATCGTAATAATTTCCACTGCATCACACAAATTCAAAGCCAATTTCTGCAGACAGCCTCCATACAATTTAGAATTGTAAAGAAATTGTGTAATTCCACATGATGGATTTGAGTATCAAGAGTAAATTGACTAAAATTGGAAGATCATTATGGTCAACACAATCAAAACAACTTTCCTTCATGAACCCATCAAAACTTTCCACTCTTCTTGATAAGCCCCCTTAATGGGCTTCCTCCTAAAGCAAGAGATTCAAATTCAAAGCCTACTAAAAAATGCTAAACAAAGAAAGCCTCGTATCAACAAAAACATCCCTTAAGGTCTCTCGGACCACAATAATGCAAATACAACCCTGCATTGTCATAGTGATCTCCCCTTCGAATGAAACAAGTTGCTGATCACTGTCAGCCTTCATATCCCACATTTTCATTGACAAAAATGCCTTCTTGGAAGTGTTGTATGTTCAAAAATAGTAAACAGTTTTAGGCTTCCTTAGCTGAATCTAAATTAAAAGAATATCCAAGTTGAGCATCTCATGTTCTTCCATGTACCACGATCCAATGACAATTGGTGTTAATTTCAGTAACCTCATCCCAGGGATCCCTTCATTCAGATTTATTTCATTCTCCATGATGCCAACTCCCATCTTTTCTCAATGAATTTACAGAAAGAATGCTGCATTCCTCTGATTTGAGAAACAACCAACCAAGAGAACTGATTAAGAGAGGAGATTAAACAAGTTCAAGCTGTCTGAGCTTAAGGATGCAGTGAATGTGTACCAATAAAATGCATTTCTCCTCTCCACACTCAAAACTTCCTTATATAAAACCCATTGACCCAATTGACTTTTGTCATATCCTCAAACTTGCGGAGTTTAAACTCATCATATCACTACTTGTTAACAAAACCTGAAGAAAAGAAAACTGGGAGTCCAAAAACGAGTTGAGACTCCACCACATTTGGTGTGAGAGAGAAGATAACAAGAACAAGAAGAAAACTACTTAAGGAACTACAATGTTGTGTCTGTTGAAATTTACTGCCTTAACCAATCAACATTTGAGTTATGGGTTTATGCAACTCAAGTATTCTATCATTAATGAAATCAGCACAAGATGAACTTAGACTAGCTCTCATTAACTTGAATAATGTTGAATTCTATGTAAACAAACCACTTGTTATATCCTTCCGACTTCTAAATGAGTTGATACAAGCAGGGGCGGAGCCAAGATTTCATTTCGGGGAGGGGGGCAGTGTACTTGATAAAATCCATATATATATATATTCAACTAACATGACAAATATGGACTGTTAAAATCAAAAGGTAAGCAAGGAAAAAAATCATTGCAAAACAATATGCTAATCAAGGAGTATTATAAGAAAGATAAATACTTGACAAATATAAGAACCAAAATATTGATTGGTAATATTTCTATTGAGTACAATTACAATTGTCCTCGACGGGTCTTCATATTTTGAAAGCAATGCATGGAATTACACACATTGAGTTCATAAAATTACAGTAATGAATTTAAGAAAGAAGAAGATTAATAAAAAGAATACGAGGAGAAAAAAGAAGAGAAAAGAGAGAATTGTGTAAAGGCTTGAATGAGATGAATTGCCCATTCACAGCTCTAGTATTTATAGATATAATGAGCACATGCTCATATTACAAGAAAATAAACTAAATCAAATCAAAATCAAATCACAACTTATTCTAAAGCATATTCTACAGCATAGTCAAATCTCTGCTATTATGGTAAGTCATACCATAAATCGTGGTATCATATATATGTTATTATATGCATAGTCAAATCTCTGCTATTATGGTAAGTTATACCATAAATCGTGGTATCATAAATGCTAACACTCCCTCACAAGTTGGTGCGTGGATATCTGAAACGCCCAACTTGGACAATGCATTCTCAAACACAATCTTGCTGACGCCCTTTGTAAGAATGTCTGCAAGCTGCTGAGAGCTTGTAACAAATGGAGTGCAAATTTGACTAGAGATGATCTTCTCTCGAATGAAGTGACGGTCCACCTCTATATGCTTAGTCCTGTCATGCTGAACGGGATTTGCTGCTATGCTAATGGCAGACTTGCTGTCGCAGTAGAGTGAGAATGGAAGCGACACTGGAAGGCACAAGTCTGTCATCAAGGTTTTCAGCCAAAGCAACTCACCTACCCCAAGAGCCATAGCCCTATAGTCTGCCTCTGCACTAGATCGAGAGACAACATCCTGCTTCTTACTGCACCAAGTAACCAAGTTACCACCAACAGTGGTACAATAACCTGAAGTAGACCTCCTATCTGAAATTGATCCTGCATAATCAGCATCTGTCCAAGCCTCAACACGTAAGTGACCATGATTAGCAAACAAAATACCACGGCCTGGACACCCTTTTAAGTAGCGAAGAATCCGAATAGCTGCATCAAGGTGTGGGGCACGAGGAGAGTGCATGAATTAACTCACGACACTCACGGCATAAGCAATGTCAGGTCGAGTCATGGATAAATAGATGAGCTTCCCCACAAGTTGCTGATACTGACCAATATCTGACAACAACTCCCCCTCAGAATCAGCCAATCGATGATTCTGCTCAATCGGAGTATCAGTAGGACGAGCGCCAAGCTGACCAGAAGCAGAAAGCAAGTCAAGAACATATTTGCGTTGAGAGATGAAAATGCCAGTCTTGGAGCGAGCCACCTCAATGCCCAAGAAGTATCATAGGGGACCAAGATCCTTAATCTCAAACTGACGGCCAAGATAGCTCTTAACCTCATTAATTCCGGTAGTATCATCGCCGGTAAGAATAATATCATTGACATACACAATGAGAGCAACTGTCTTACCGCCTGAATGACGTAAAAACAAGGTATGATCAGCTGCACTTTGATGGAAACCAAACTTGAGCATAGCAGTGCCAAAGCGATCAGACCAAGCTCGAGGAGACTGCTTGAGGCCATATAGAGAACGACGAAGACGACATACCATACTAGAATGAGCAGGAGAACGAAAGCCCGGAGGAGGAACCATGTACACCTCCTCTTGAAAATCACCATTAAGAAAGGCATTCTTGACATCTAACTGAAATAGAGGCCAAGATCGAATTGCAGCAACAGAAAATAATACACGGAATGTATTCATCTTGGCAACAGGGGCAAAAGTCTCTTGATAATCTATGCCATAAGTCTGAGCATAACCCTTGGCAACCAATCGGGCCTTGAAATAAGCAACTAACCCATCTGGATTATGCTTGACTGTAAACACCCAACGACAACCCACAGCCTTTCGTCCAATAGGAAGCGGAACCATGTCCCAAGTCTGATTTTTCTCAAGTGCTTGTAGTTCTTCTGTCATAGCATCACGCCATTGAGATTGTGCTAGCGCATCTGCAACACTGGAAGGAACAGGAACCGAGGCAACAGAAACAAAAAAACTCCGATAGGAGGGTGAGAGAGCATAATCAGAAACAAAATTAGAAATAGGGTAAATACAAGAACGTTTATCCTTTCGAAGAGCAATGGGGCGATCATCAAGCGAAACAATAGCTTGAGAAGGCGGAGCTGGTGCTGAAGGAACAGGGCAGTCGATCGTGGGGATAGAAGCTTGTACCTGTTGTCTCCGATTATAAACCTGTGAAAAAGGAACAATTCCCCCTGCTGGAGGGGTATCACGAGGAGGAATTATAGAAGAAGAAACAGGTAATGGTAGAAGAGTTGAAGACGGAAGAAGGTGATCATCCATTATATTCAATGGGAACCATTCACTCTGAGAACCAACTGAACCACTATAGTATGGTGTATGCTCAAAGAAAGAAACATCCATGGATATAAACCGCCGATGACTGGGAGGATGGTAACACCTATAACCTTTTTGAGAGTGAGAATAGCCCAAAAACACACACTTCAAAGCCTTGGGGTCAAGCTTTGTACGAGTTTGCCCCAACTGCTGAACAAAGCACACACACCCGAAGACTCGTGGAGGAATCAAAAATAGAGATGAATTGGGATGTAAGATTGAGAGTGGGGCTGCAAAGTTAAGAATCCTAGAAGGAGTCCTATTCATGATGTAAACACCAGTAAGAACTGCATCTTCCCAAAATGACTGGGGAACATTCATGCCAATGCAGATTGCTCTGGCTAAGTCAAGGATGTGGCGATTCTTTCTCTCAGAACGACCATTCTGTTGAGGAGTTTTAACATTAGCCAGCTGATGCGCAATCCCAAATTCTGTACATAACCGTTGTACCTCCCCATAAATGTACTCTGTACCCTGGTCAGATTGGAATTTTTTAATGGTACGATCATATTGAGTCTGAACCATTGTCATAAAATTTTTAAAAATGGTGTATACCTCATTTTTGGTTGTCATAAGATAAACCCAAGTAACACGACTATGATCATCAATGAACAACACGAAATATCGAAATCCAAGACTCGAAGTAACTGGGTAAGGACCCCACACATCTGAATGAACAAGATCAAAAGGTGTTAAAGCAGATTTATTACTACTAACAGGATAATTGGAACGAACATGTTTAGCCATATGACATGTTTCACAGGATAAATCTGACATTGCCACGTTACAAAATAAGGAAGGAAATAAATGTTTCAAATAATCAAAAGAAATATGTCCTAAACGCATGTGCCAACGCATAAGCTGGGCTTTATTAGATGAAACAATATTAGAAAATGAAGCTGAATGTGCTTACGGTGACAAAGGAGCATCCAACAAGTATAAACCGTCCACTTCACGCCCACTGCCAATCGTCCATTTCGACACCAGATCCTGAAAAATACAATGAGAGGGAAAGAACGTTACACTACAATTTAATTGTTTGGTAACGCTACTAACAGAAATAAGATTTGTGGTCAACTTTGGAATATGAAGTGTATTTGACAAAGTTAATGAAGGAGTAACTGATATGTGACCCTTCCCAGCAATGGAAGATGGAGAGCCATCCGCAAGGCAAACCTTGCGTTGGCCAAAGCAAATACTATAAGATTGGAAGAGTGAGGTCATACCAGTCATATTGTCTGAAGCACCAGAATCAATGATCCATGGTGTTGAAGATGTAGATACGCTATGTGCATACGCAATAGTACCTGAGTGGGCATAAGTGGAGGTTGGCTGAGATGATGCCTCCATTTGGTTGAAGAATTGCTTGAACTTGTCCAAATCAGCTTGAGTCAAGGTAACTGTGGCAGAAGATGTAGAGGCAGGGTTGTCAGGAGTTGACAACGAGACTGGTTGTGTAACAGAATGTGCAGAGGATCGAGGCTGTTATTTCTGTTGCGATGGACGTCTATGTAGAGCATAACAATGAGATTTGATGTGACCAATTTTTCCACAATGGTCACACCGTCCACGATGTCGTCCCAGAGAAGGACCGGTGGTAGTGCTCTGAACTGACTGGGATGGTGAAGTTCCTGAAAGGTTGGGAATCCGAACTGCCATAGCAGAACAATCAACAGAAACAACACCTAATGGATGAGTCCGGCGGTTCACATCTGACAACACATAGGAATATGCATTCTCAAGAGTAGGGAATGAAGATAAGCCCAACACGAGCATACTCAAACTCGTCGTTCAACCCGGCAAGAAACTGAAACACTCGATTCTTCTCCACAATTCCTGCATATAAAACTGCATCATCTGGATCCTTCTAAGAGTGGAAGGAATCATAATTTGAAATCTCCACCCAAATAGCACGAAGCTTGGCGATGTAACCTGAAACTGTCAAGTCACCCTGAGAAATCCTGGTGATATCTCGCCCCAGCTGGAAAATTCGTGCATTATTTTGCCTCTGAGAATAAGTGTGTTGAACTGAATCCCAAATTTGCTTAGCAGTCTTCAAAACATATAGCCAACAGCTATGTTTGGTTGCATCGAATTGACTAGCAAGACATAATCATAGCGTTATCTGCAAACCACTGTGGATATGCCTTCTCTGACTCAGTTGGCTCTTTCTCAGAACCAGTAATATAGCCAATCTTGTCTTTGCCACCAATGAACATCTTGGCAGAATGTGCCCAAATTAAAGAGTTGGAACCATCCAACTTCACTGTGGTGATTTAAAGTCCTGGATTTTCTGATGAGTTGGTGGGAAAAATGGCACCACCACCCACAGAACGTGAGCCAAGAGAATTAACAGTCGAGGACCCTGAATCTACCATAATCTGTCACACGACAATAAAAAGAACTCCAAAAACACCACAAATTCTGTTAATAAATCAAAGGGTCTCCTCAGACCATAAACAATGTCTCCTCAGACCATTCTCGAAAAATCCAAATACATACCTTTTTTAAGGAGCGCTGCCCGCTTACATATAGCCAGACAGCCTCCTTCTTAATATTCGGAACCTCTTTGTAAATTAATTTTTTTTTTTACCCAAGCCCTTCTAGGTGTTGGAAACCAACTATCCCAATTTACCCAACCCTAGAAGAGTGAAAAAGAAATTGTAAAACTTAAAAATACCTGTTTTCGATCACAAAACAGCAACACAGAAAAACATGTGTAGGCAACATCACACGATGTCACAAACAGCCTAAGGTAGTTGTCGCACAAGTAACAAGGCTGTTGAAAGGTGTGGAAAGGTGTTGGCTCTGATACGAAGTAGAAATATATAAAAAGAAGAGAAAAGAGAGAATTGCGTAAAGGCTTGAATGAGATGACTTACCCATTCACAGCTCTAGTATTTATAGATAAAATGAGCACATGCTCATATTACAAGAAAGGAAACTAAATCAAATCAAAATCAAATCACAACTTATTCTAAAGCATATTCTATGGCATAGTCAAATCTTTGCTATTATGGTAAGTCATACCATAAATCGTGGTATCATATATATGCTATTATATGCATAGTCAAATCTCTGCTATTATGGTAAGTTATACCATAAATCGTGGTATCATAAATGCTAACAGTAATATTTCTATTGAGTACAATTACAACTGTCCTCGACGGGTCTTCATGTTTTGAAAGCAATGCATGGAATTACACACATTGAGTTCATAAAATTACAGTAATGAATTTAAGAAAGAAGAAGATTAATAAAAAGAATACGAGGAGAAAAAAGGTTACAATACATACATCATAAAATAAGTGCAAAAAGAATAATTTTAAGATGAAAAAAAAAAAATGAGAGAACTTTGAAAGGAAAAAACTAGGGTTTGATTGAAGAAGGAGAATGTAACTTTTTAAGGAAATTTAAAGGAATTTGAAGAGTAAGAGAGAGAGAGAGATAAGAAAAAAAAAAAAAAAAAAAAAAGGAGGAAAAAATTAAGAGATAATTTTAACAATTGAAAATTTTAGGGGGGAATTACGTAAAATTTCTCACACACACACATATATAAAAATAAAAAAATTAAATAAATATAGTGGATGTATCCCACCCCCACCAAAAAAAAAAAAACACACACACACACATCCTACATTGGCTCCACCCCTGGATACAAGAAGCTACACAGGTGTTATCATTATAGTATGATCGTAGAACTCCCCGGCATAATTTGACCATTATCTCATCAGGCACAACAGAATTCTTACAGGTAGCTTTTCATCTAGGTGCATCCTGTGGTAAAATTATATAAACACCATGTGGCTATGCAAACCAATCCTTATTTGCTAGTCCTGCATTAATGTCTATTTGTAGAACCAACATCTAAATCCTTCTATTATAATTTAGTTATAGTTTTATACTAGGGCTCCACCTCAGATCCTAGAAAATCAACTGAAGCACTCTAATTCATCTATATATAATAATAATAATAATAATAATAAAAGACGAGATATTTTAGTTCTTTCACATGTAGATTTCTTTAAACCCTAAAATATTGCGACACAGAGAAAAATAATTGAGATTATTGATCCTCTTACCAATCCACCAAAGGCCAAGGAGAGTGAACAGTCCAATGAATCCAAAGAACTTTTGCACATCAACATTGTCTCCTTTTGATCCAGCAGATTTTTTGAGCAGAACTGCACTAAGTGGCTAAGTAGTTTACAAATTAAGAAAGAGACTAATAACAACATTATCAAATTGAAATTGATCACCAAAGTTCCAAGTTTCAAATAGTAATATCCATTGAAATACAGATATTAAAAGCTCTACCTGTAAATAAGCCATAAGATACTGCTGAGAGAAGACCAAAAATGTCGCCAATAATGCAATGCCTTTTGCTCCTAGGTTTATAAATAGAATTAAGTTTTAAGACAATGGACATAGATAAGATAAAGCAAATCTGTGCAAAATATAAACATCATCAATGTGGAACATCACTTTACATATTCAATTTATTGTCCCTAAAAAAGAAAATTAGCATGGCCGTCTAAGAAATTGTGTAAGCATACATAGGTCCGAATGGGGGGAGGCCACCCCCACTGATTAAAATCCTCAAACTGCCCCCACTAAATATTTAATGATATATATGTTGACTTTAAGAGATAATCAAATCAAAGAGTAAAGTATAAGAAGAAGAAAAAGAGAAGAAAGAGGATGAGAGAAAAAGAGAGAGAGAGAGATGGGAAAAGAGAGAAAGAATGAAAGAATTCTTTCATCCTTCCACCACATTATATTTATAATAATAAGTTTCAGAAATTGCACATAAGCCCCAACATTATATAAGTAATAACAAATAAGCCCCGAACAACAATATATACTTGCCCCACTAAAGTTTTAAATTGTGAAAAAGAGTAATCAACTGTCTCTCTCTCTCTCTCTCTCTCTCTCTCTCTCTCTATTATGTTGTTATAGTGTTTGCAAAGAAAACAAAATCTTATGTAAATAAATAAAAGTTAGCATATCAATAGTAGAGCAAAATCTTATTTAATTAAATAAAAGTTAGCATATCAATAGTAGAGCCATGTTTTGCCCCCACTCAACTTTTTTGTTATTTTAGTTTTCCATGTCTATCTTTTAATTTGTACAAATTCCCCTACAATATAATAAAAATACCCTTGATATTAAAACCCAACACAAAGACAAGAAGAGAGAGGGAGTGAGACAAGGGAGGAAGAAGCATGTTTACACAACTTGTCTTATCAAATGGTGAAAACTCAACGAATACAATTATAATTGTATTGAATGGAAATATTGTCAATCAACATCTATATTTTTGTATTTATTATCTTGGTTCATTTTTTCTTTTAAATTTACTATTATTCAAGGTTGCGCCCACTAAAAAAAAATCCCGGGTCCGTCATTTTGTGTAGTGTTGTGGCGGAAACCCAAAAACAACGATGTTCGAGGAATAAACATAAGCAATCACAAAGAAAAAAAACAATCACACACAAGAACACAAAATATACGTGGTTCACCCAAAATTTAAGGCCACGTGCATGGAGCGCATCGAACAAATTCCACTATGAAAAATTACAATGGAGAATCTTCCTCTCAATCTCTCTCAATTGCTCCCTCTTGTGTTGGCACAAATTAATCCAATCATACACTATAGTTATGATCATCACATCAACCCTAAAATCTTATTAGGGTTATATAAATAGTCCCAGACCAAGGAATACAGCTTGCCCCACAAGACTTGCCTTTTGTAGAGTCAGAAACCAATATGGAAAGCAATTTTCGCAACTACCCAAGGGAGCGCAACCGATTCCACACCATGCAACTGGTTACGTTTGTCGTACACTAACGTAGTATATCTTACTGCCCAAGGTTTTTGGCATATTTTTTATTGATCATGGAAAATTGCTCCAAACTCGTGGGCGAGTTTTTTCCAACACGGGGAGACTGATGCAGGCAAAATTTCAAATTCTTGCAAAGGAATTTTTGTTTTTCAGAAAATTTCCATATTTTGAAAGTTTCCTTATTTTGAGTAGCTTTCTTATTTTCATCAGCTTTTCTTTTTTGAGTAGTTTTCCGATTTTCAGCAGTTTTCTGTTTTGGTTTTATTTTATATTTGGTAGTTAGCTAATATAAGGCTAGGATTGGGGAGGAAGAAATTCTATATAAAGCCTCGTAATTTCTAGGGTTCAATCAGTTTTAATTGAAGAGATTATTATTATATTTTACAGCAAATAAAATTTGCTTTGCAATTTCTCCTTTTCTCTTGCATTGAATGGTTAAGTCGTTTCAATATTGTTGTGAAAACGATTTAATCATTCGTATCCACTTGGAAGGCGGCATCAGTTTCATAACCAGGGGAAAAATATATGTGTAGTCAATCCCTAACTTCTGCTGAAAGCCTTTGACCACTAATCTCGCCTTATATCTTTTGGAACTATCATATTCCTCTTTGACCCTGTACACCCATTTGTTGTGAAGAGCTTTTTTTCCCTGGGTAACTTGGCTAGTTCCCATGTCTTGTTGGAGATAAGGGACTTCCTCTCATCCTCCATTTCAAGCTCCCACTCACTAGCATCTTCAACCTGACATGCCTCATCATAGCATTCAGGCTCATCACCATCTGTGAGCAACATGTAATCCATACACCGCCGATTTGGTACATGAGGACGAATGGACTTTCTGAGTACAAGCATAGGAGTTAGAATCCGCGGTGCACTATACTCTGTGAGTTCTGGCCATGAACCCTCAATTGACTGCTTCGCAACAATAATGTTCGGAACATCACCCAACTCAACAAACTAATGTAGCGGAAAGCGATAGAATGTTCAGAAGGAACAAGGTTGCCTTGAATCCATAAGGAAGGGTAGTTTGAATCCACAAACTAGAAGAAAATTCATAAAGAATTCTGAGATATTATTGATAAAAAGTTAAATTCTGGTCTTGCAATACATGTATATTTATAATAGAGAAAACCTAACACTAGAAGGAAACTAATCCTAGAAATAAGTCTAATAAATTCTCTCTAAATTTTTTTTTAAAATAGATAAAGAAACCTAATCAAATAACACTACTAAATATAAAATCTCAAAGCATTCCGACTTCGTTAAGGCCTCGAACAAAAAATTCCGGAATAATCCGCAGGCCTCCTATAACGCAATAAAATGCGATTTCGAAGCCCTAAACGAAGGTTTTCAGGCAAAAACCAACATGCCCAGAAGCTAAAGCTAGTGAGTTTTTCTCAATGTGTCATTTCCACCCAAAAAAACTCTTCACTCGAGTAAAAAACGGACTTGTCAAACTTTTCACCATTCTGTCTTGCATCAGTCCTCTCTACTTAAAAAAAACTCTTCCTTGAGTTTGGCTGCGAATAACATGACCACAAAATCATATTTATCACCGCCATAAGAACCTCAATAGCACAACACCACAATATTTTCATTGGCACACTCCGGAATAAATAATTCTTCATTAACAATATGCTTAAATAATGATACTTCACCAATTTGAAGCCCAGATTCTTCCATACCATCTTGGATATCTGATTTGGAAAAAATATTAACCCGTTGATCATCAATTAATTCTTGTTGCTCAATTTCAACATCGAACTCCGTGTCACCATCTTCTTTTTTTGTTGTGCTAAAGCCCTTTTCTGCATCTACCAACTCTTGCAAAGGAATTAATGTTTTCACATCCGTTCATTCATCTTCTTCAACTACAATAGGTGAAGCAACATAATTTTGCTCTTGATCAACCTCAATAATATCAGTCGTTGCCTTAACAAAATTATTATTATTATCCTTGATGCCACTATCTTTCTTGTAAATTTTCTCTATAGACTTTTTGACAGATGGACTCTCTTTCCGACAATTTCGATATTTTTGATACATTATTTCCTCATCATTTAGTGGTACAAATTTAGCCATGAAAATCCGTTTCATCTTGTACCACAACCGAACAGGCTATGATCCTTCCCTCCTTCGATAAAATTGTATTTGTTCCCACCAAGTTTAAGTCCAACTTTTAATCTTGAAGGCCACAAGCAGAACTCGCTTGTTTTCAAGTACATCAAAATATTCAAAAAATCCTTCAACTTTTTCAATCTAGTCCAAGTCATCTTCAATAATAAAACTTCCATTGAAAGTAAGTAGATCAAGTTTTACCTGAAATTCACAATTGTTGCGTCCACCTCGATCACTGAATATTAACTCCTCATCATCGGAAGAATCATCGAAATAATCCGCATAGGCTGGAGGCCTACGTGGATAAACAGGGAACATAACTCATATTCATTTGGCTGCGAGACACATCATCAAGGCGAACTCAAACTGAACCACAAACCTAGTTGCCACTTATCCCAAAACCAGGGAACATAACTCATATTCATTTGGCTACGAGACACATCATCAGGGCGAACTCAAACTGAACCACAAACCTGGTTGCCACTTATCCCAAAACCAGTTGCCACGAACCCATCTTGATTATGCATGGCTGCCCAAGGGGCCTACACTCTGCGATCATCGTCGGCAAAGTGAGTGCCACCAAAACGAGCAATCGTCATCAACCCAGGGTAAATCAAGACTCTGATACCAACTAACGTAGCAGAAAGCAATAGAATGTTCACAAGGAATGGGGTTGCCTTGAATCCACGAGGAAGGGTTGTTTGAATCCACAAACTAAAAGAAAATTCATAAAGAATTTTGAAATATTATTGATAAAAAAGGTTAAATTATGCTCTTGCAATACATGTATATTTATAATAGAGAAAACCTAACACTAGAAGGAAACTAAAAACACAAGGAAACTAATCCTAGAAATAAGTCTAAAAATAAATTCTCTCTAAAAATTCTGGAAAAATTTCACAAGAAACCTAATCAAATAAAACTACTAAATATAAAATCTCAAAGCATTCCAACTTCGTTAAGGCTTCGAACAAAAATCCTGAAATAATCCACAGGCCTCCTATTATAACACAATAAAATGCGATTTCGGAGCCCTAAACGAAGGTTTTCAGCCGAAAACCAACATGGCCAGAAGCTAAAGCTAGTGGGTTTTTCTCAATGAGTCGTTTCCACCTAAAAAAAAAAACTCTATATTCGGGTAAAAAACGAACTTGTCAAACTATTCACCATTCTGTCTTGCATCACAAACTCAGGCATACTCTATACAGCACTAGTTGACAGTACAGCATCTCTATCCTTGTACATCACCTTCTCATTGAAAACCACATCTCTACTTCTGATGATTTTCTTCTTCTAATCATCCTAGAGTTGATAACCAAACTTATCTCCACCATACCCATGTTCACCATTCTGTCCAGAATTCTGCCACGCATCACAAATTCAGGCATACTCTATACAGGACTAGTTGACCATGATGCATCTCT